GCTATTCGTGGAGCTCTTCTGACTTAACTAAAGTTGTTCTAAACTGAAGGAAGAGTTGTCCCCTTTTTGATTCTACAAAGTAACTCTGAGCGGCTCCTAGCAAGGGTATCACACCCAGTATGTATGCTGTATTTTAAGTAATCGTAAATTACAACCATTTTGGAGAACAGGTGAATGGTATCCATTAATGTTGAAAAAAACACACCCAGGTCAAGAACTCTTCTAGACATTTACTCTGCAGAAATGGTAAAGGAGACATTTGTAAGAATGTTTGCTATAACACACGTCTACTATTAGAAACCAAAAACATTAAATGACCATCAGTAGGGAGTAGATAAATAGAATATATAGTAGATTACTATATAGGAATTAAAACAAATTCATTCATTCACTCATTCACCAAATAGTTATTGAGTGTTTTATACCAGCTGCTCATCTAGCTATCGGGTTTACGGCTGTGAATAACACAGATAAACCCCTCTCTTCAGGGAGTTTCTAATCTCGTGGGGAAACAGGTCCTCAACAGGATCCGTGAAAGAGATTGTATGGTGGACAGTGATAAGGGCCAAGAAGAGAGAATAAAGCAGAAAAGGGGGATGCTAAGGGTTAGGCATGGGGTAGGACATGAAAGCTCGTGGGGTGACTGGGAGCAAAGATCTGAGGAAACGAGGGATCTAGCTTTGCTGAGGAGGAGTGTTTTGGGCCATGAAACATGAGGCTGAGGGTGGGGAAGAGAGAGGAACAGAACAGAGCCCGGCTGGAATAGTGAACAATCCGCGTCAAAATGGACTGAGCTGTGTGGAAAAAATCGAGTTGTAATGTATGCAGTAGCACACCATTTTTTTTTTTTAAGATTTTATTTATTTATTTGAGAACGAGCACGAGCTGGGTGAAGGGTAGAGGGAGGAGCAAACTCCCCTCTGAGCAGGGAGCCTGACGTGGTGCTCATGACTCAGGACTCCAGGATCGTGACCTGAGCCAAAGGCAGACTCTTAAACGACTGAGCCCGCCAGGTGCCCCAGTAGCACACCATTCTTACTAACAGCTTCTAGAGTAGAGGTTCTTAACGTGAATAAAAATACATATGATTGTAAAAGAAATTAACTATATTGAAATAGTAAATTTTTTAAACAGGTTTGTGTTATGAAAGTGCTTGGTTCTCAGAGCACTAGGTAGCAAGGCAGTAAATATACAGGCAAGTTCAAGTGTCACCCTTTAAAGAGCCATCAGTGTGAAGGCCATCATGGCTCGTTTGAATGGGGCTTTAGGCCAGCTGTGGTCTGGCCTTTGACTAACCCCCCTGCTTCCATGTGTCCATCAGTTGTAGGGAGTCACAGAGAGTAAAATATATAGCTGGACCATTGATGTGAGAACATAGGACCTGGCCATTTTGAGTCTGAACAATTAACTACCAGGCACAAAGCTGCAGCAGTTGCTTGGCTCCATCACCTCAGCACTTCTAGTCGGTCTGACAGCTGGTCTGGCACCTCTGTGATCATATCAAGGTTGTGTGAGCATAAATATTTTAAGTTATCTCTAGCAGCTGTAATGTGAGAGGGAAATCTGAATGCTCTTGGTGATGAAGTCAAAGATACTACTGATATTTTAATGCTCTTGCCTACACTTACGGCTGAAAGATATGATAAATTTTGGTTAGAAGTTAGTTAAGCTAAAGGTGATTTTTTTTCTGTCCAAATTCCAGGATACTCTGATACCTGCCCATGAATGCCAGGTTAAGAATTTTGCTCTAAAGCAATATATTTTTCAAGGCCACACACACACACACACACACACACATTTATAAACGCACTAAATTTGTGATTGTTTCTGGTGGGTCTAGGACTAGGGATGGTGTATAATATGTTATAGAAATAGAGAATATGTTATAAAAATAATTATGGTATTCGTAGTAGAAAACCAACCCCCAAACCCCTTAATATCCAGCAGAATTTGTAGACCAGATTCCAGTTCTTTCTATGCATCTACCTTGGTGGTCCTGTTTATTGATAGAAAAACAGCTGTTATGACAAAGGTAATGTCCTCACTTGGCCAGTGTGATTATCTGGGCTCAAATCCCAGCTTAACTTCTAAATGTGTTTATGCCAAATAATTTATTTTATAAATGTTTGTGTACTTTTAAAAAAGGCTTTGTTTACACCTTTTTGCTTCTTAATAGCAGTAATGGTTAAGCAGATTCCTGCTGCAGACCCACACTTCTCACTAGTTGTGTGATGTTGGACAAGTGATTTTACCTCTTTGCTTTGGTCCCTTATCTGAGAAAAGGGAATAGCGGTAGTATTTTTATCATGGGGGAAGGATGAGTCAATGAGTCAATATATGTGAAGCTCCCAGAAAAGTGTCTGGCACATAATAAAGACTCAGTAAATCTAATTCTTATTCCTCTTCCTCCTTCTTGTCCTCCTTCACCTCCTAGACCTTGGGAAATTCATCCTACCTGACTCATGCGCTGTAGTCAGCATCCGCCATTTTTCAGGTCTCCTCCAAGTTAGCAAATGTTCCTTTAGCGTCTTCTGTGTGCAGTGTGCCTGGAGCCCCCTTACATCTATTCGATTATTTGTTTGAATGTTGGAGATACACTGAGAATAAGACCATAAGCCCAGAATCTGCCCTTGCTGAGATTTAATGAAGATGTTTTCTAGATGTAAAGTGCATGAAAAGGAAAGAGTGCCTGCCTCTCCCTAGGAAAGGGGAAATAGGCAATAGGCTTGGGGGGGGGTGCTTCTGCTTGAGCTGAGTAGAGATTTGCCTACACTAGGAAGGCTGCATGACAGTCAAGGCACTTGTGCTTCCTGGACAGAACACGCTCTTGCTTCTTCGGGGCCTTCATAGATGGTGTGGCTTGGGCATGGTGTGCCTGTGGGATGTTGCCAGGCAGGTCTGTGCTTTATTTCCCCTCAGCCTAGACTCAAGTGAGCTGATACTTGCATTTTAGGAAGGTAGCAGTGGAAGGCAGTGTGGGAGAGGGTCTGAAAGGGGAGACTGGAGGTAGGAAGGCCTGTTGGAAGAAGAGGCAAGTGACCTTGGTAATGGTGTGGGCTAGGAGAGCAGGGGACAGGAGCACCTTTGCTGGCCACCTGACCCTCTGCTGTATGGCTGCTGCCCAGACAGTGCCCAGCACACAGGACTTGGGCTGCAAATGCTTTCCAAATAAATGGGTGAGACACTCGAGAGACAGATTTAGTGCCCCAGTTTCCAGCTCCATCTGCCCCATGGATGGTGGGAAGTTAACTGGAGGCATAGTGTGGAAAGAGGGGTGAATTTGAGGGGAAGACAACGGAGTCCGATTTGAATATGTTGACTTTGAGGTGCCCTGTGACCTCTACATAGTGGCTGGAAGTCTAGAGTCATGATCCCAGAAATGGAAGGGGTGGGTAGAGGAGCAAAAGGAAGGTCACGGAAGAAGCCCTTGCATTTCCAACCAGACCATCATCTATTTGGCAGACTGCTAGCAAATCTGTATGTCTAGCCAGGCCTTCCCTCCTGAGCTTCTCCAGATGGCATTCCCTCATACTGCTTCACTCACCGTGCTTAAGGTAGAGCTCACCACTTCCCAAAACGTGGCTTTCCTCTTGATTTTTCTATTCTTTCCGATAGCCCTGGAGCCTTTCTGTTACTGGCCAAAACTGTAATGTTTTCTCTTGGACAAAATTTAATAAAATTTCAACTCCTCAGAATGCTTAAAATTGAAGGTTCTAGGGGCACCTGGGTGGCTCAGTGGGTTAAGCCGCTGCCTTCAGCTCAGGTCATGATCTCAGGGTCCTGGGATCAAGTCCCGCATCGGGCTCTCTGCTCAGCAGGGAGCCTGCTTCCCTCTCTCTCTCTCTCTCTCTCTCTCTGCCTGCCTCTCCGTCTACTTGTGATCTCTCTCTGTCAAATAAATAAATAAAATCTTTTAAAAAAATTGAAGGTTCTAACTTCTCTTGAGTTTTGTTCGAAGGGCCTTTTTAAAAAAGATATTTCTAGGGGCACCTGGGTGGCTCAGTTGGTTAAGTGTCTGCCTTTGGCTCAGGTCATGATCCCGGAGTCCTGGGATCAAGCCCCGTATTAGGCTCCCTGCTCAGTGGGAAGGCTGCTTCTCCCTCTCCCATTCCCCCTGCTTGTGTTCCCTCTCTCTTGCTTTCTCTCTCTCTGAGATAAATAAATAAATAAAATCTTAAAAAAAAAAAAAAAGATTTTTCTAAACTATTACCTTTTGAAAATTTTATTTTACTTTATTAAACATTTTCTTTTCTTTGAGTATAGTTGACTCACAATATCACATTAGTTTCAGGTGTACAATATAGTGATTCAGTGTTTCTCTATTGTATGCCATGCTTACTGCAATGCAGCCTCCATCTGCTCAAATATCACCTAATAGCTTTTTCCGCCATTCTCTTCTTGCTTCTAGATCTTCCCGAGGCTCATTCCCTCATCCCCATTAGGTCTCTGTTCAAGTGTGACCCTCTTGGGATGCTTTCTCTAATCTCACTTTATCCCTAATAGCACCCTTCATCTTTGCCATGCTTGATTTTGTTGCATATCATTTAGTACTGTATGATTGGCTATTTTTTTTTTTTTACACTTATCATTACCTGCTCTTTAAAAAAAAAAAAAAAAAACAAACACAACTCTCCCTCACTAGAATGGAGGGGAGCAATGTTGTCCTTTTTACCATTATATTTCTGGTCCTTTTCAGGCATTTGCAACCATGTGTGATATATTGTGTTAGGTCCAACTCACAAATTTGGAAGCTTAGGCTCCGCAGAGTCAGTTATTGAAGGTCAGGGTCACATGGTTTGTAAATGATAAAGCCAGTGACTGCTTCGCTGGGGATTTTTATACTTGTCAAGCTGCCTTCAGTAAGACACATTATTATAAGCTTGTATTTTCACTCACCATAGGGACCAAACTCCTCAAATGGAATACATTAGTGGAAATAGCTGTTATAGTTGGATATTTCTGATCATTAAAAAAAATACCTTTTTTTTCCCCAAATTCAGGAGGATATGGCAAAAAAAGTGGTCGTAGTAAAAAATGGAGGGAAATGCTGAAGCTGCCTCCTGTCAGCCAGTGCAGCAAGCTTAGACATTTCATTGGTGAGTAAGCAGCGCCAGCCTGGAGATCGTGTCTGGCATTGTACCATTTGTTAGATGTTATTCTTTTAAGAAGTAATATGTACTCATTGTTCTGTATGGAACAAAAGAGTAATATAGTAAATGTTCCTCTGCCCTTGACCCCACTAATCATCTAGAAGTGAACATACAATTTTCTAGTTTCATCCATGCTGTAGTTTGAATCAGTACTTAATTCCTTTGTTTCTTGGCAAATAACATTTCACCATATGCATATATCACTTATTTATCCATTTGTCAGTAGATCGATGAGCTGTTTAAATTTTTTTGTCTATTATGAATAATGCTGCTAGAAACATGCCTGTACACGTGTTTTCTTTGTGGTAGGGTATACATAAAAATTACCATTTTAACCACTTCTAAAAGATTTTATTTATGAGAGAGAGAATGAGAGTGTGCACGTGTGTTGGGGAGGGACAAAGGGAGAGGGAGATAAGCAGACTCCCTGAAGAGCATGGAGCCCACGTGGGGCTTGATCTCATGATCCTGAGATCATGGCCTGAGCTGAAACCAAGAGTCAGTTGCTTGACCAACTGTGCCACCCAGGCTGCGCCTCATTTTAACCATTTTCAAATACAAAGTTCAGTGGCATTGATTTGGATATTGTATATATGTACTACACTTTGTGTATCCATTCATCTGTCAAATGGGTTGTTTCTACCATTTGGCTATTGTGAATAATGCTGCTAGGAACATGGCACAAATGTTTGAGTCCCTGCTTTCATTTCTTTTGTGTATATACCCAGGATTGGAATTGCTGGATAATATGATAATTCTATGTTAACTTTGTAAGGCACTGCTAGACTGTTTTCCAATGTGGCTATACCATTTTATGTTCCCACAAACACTATATGAGGGTTCCAGTTTCTTCATGTCCTCTCTGAGGACATGACTTTTATTTTCCATTTTGTTTTTATTATAGCAATCTGAGTGGGTGTGAAGTGGTTTCTCATTGTGGGTTTTTCTTTTCTTTTTTTCTTTAATTAATTTTTTTAAAGTTTTATTTATTTAGGTAATCTTTACACCCTGCATGGGGCCTGAACTCACAGCCCCGAGATCAAGAGTCATTTGATCCTCCGACTGAGCCAGCCAGGCACTCATATCTCATTGTGTTTTGATCTGTGTTTCCCAATGACTAATGATACTGAATATCTTTTCATGTATTTATTGGCCATTTGTATATCTTCTTTGGAGAAATACCTGTTCAAATCCTTGTCCATTTTTTTAAAGTAGGCTCTGTGCCTAGCGTGGAGCCCAATGTGGGGCTTGAACTCATGACCCTGAGATCAAGAGTCAGATGCTAGCTTAACTGACTAAGACGTCTAGGCACCACCTTTGCTCATTTTTTAATTGGATTGTTTGTCTTGTCTTTGTTGAAATGTAAATGTTCTTTATATATTCTAGTTACTATACTCTTATCAGACAGTTGCTTTTCAAATATTTTCTCCCATTCTGTGTTTTCTTTTACTTTCTAAATGATTTCTTTTAGGAACACAAGTCTTTATTTTGATGAAGTCCAATTGATCTATTTTTTTTTTCTTTTTTTTGCTGTGCTTTTGGTGTCATATCTAAAAAACCACTAGTTAATCCAAAGTCACAAAGATTTACACCTATATTTTCTTCTAAGAGTTTTATAGTTTTATCTCTCACATATAGATATTTGATCCAGGTGGAGTTAATTTTTGTATATGTCGTGAGGTAGGGATTCAGTTTCATTCTCTTGCATTGGATATCCAGTTCCAGAACCGTTCATTGAAATGACTATTTTTTCACCATTGAGCTCTCTTCATGCCTTTATAAAAAATCCCGTGACTGTAAAGGTGAGGGTTTATTTGTAGACACTTGTGAGGAAACATGTGTTTGTATCTAGGGCCTACCCAGGTAATCCAGGAAAGTCTGCCATCTCGAGATTCTTGATTTCATCATATTTGCAAAGGCTCTTTTTTATTTTATTTATTTATTTATTTATTTGACAGAGAGATCACAAGTAGGCAGAGAGAGAGAGAGAGGGAGAAGCAGGCTCCCCAAGAGCAGAGAGCCTGATGATGTGGGGCTCAATCCCAGGACCCTGAGATCATGACCTGAGCCACAGGCAGAGGCTTAACCCACTGAGCCACCTAGGTGCCCCAACAAAGGCTCTTTTTTAAAAGTAAGGTCATATTTATAGGGATTAGGACCTGGTACATTGGGAGGGCCATTATTCAGCCTGCTACCGATGGTAACTCTAGGCTTTACTTTTTGAGGAACTGGTAAGTTGTTTTCCAAAGCAGCTGCATATTTTACATTCCCACCAGAACTATATGAGAGTTCCAGTTTCTCCACATCCTTGCCAACACTTATTTTCATTATAGCCATCCTAGTGAGTGTGATTGGCATTTCACCTATGACCAATGATGTCAAACACCTTTTTTATTCGTTATTGGCTGCGCTTCTTTGAGCCAACTGATATTTGATCCATAGTGTTAATAGTATTTTTTTTTAAGATTTTATTTATTTATTTATTTATTTATTTGACAGACAGAGATCACAAGTAGGCAGAGAGGCAGGCAGAGAGAGAGGAGGAAGCAGGCTCCCTGCTGAGCAGAGAGCCCGACGTGGGGCTCGATCCCAGGACCCTGGGATCATGACCTGAGCCGAAAGCAGAGGCTTTAACCCACTGAGCCACCCAGGCGCCCCTTAATAGTATTTTCTGCATATAGCACCAAGTGATTAGAATGGAGGTTGCTTCCATTATTTGACATTTGCATTGTAGTTAAGATATAAAATTTACTTTGGGACTATTTATGCTATTGAACGTATTCATAGGGTTATAGAAACATTTTCATGTCTATTTGCATATTAATTACCTCAGTATGTTTCTGATTCTTTGGGGGTAAGTTTTAGTGCATAGAATGAAGTAAATTATATTAAATGTCCCATTAGTTAACTTTTTACCCCAGTTCATGCTCTTTTTAAAATTAGTTTATTTTCATTGAGATATGTAATTTACATATAACGTTGTGTAAGTTTAAGGTGTACAGCACCCTCAGTTAAGTTTTAAATGTGATCGTTTATTTGCTTCCGTGTACCTAGCACTGGGTATGGCCCTACCAATACAGTGGCTAAGAAACAGATGTGACCTTTGCCCTCTTGGCAGAGAGAGTTACAAAATAAAGAATTGCAGGAATAAACTTCATTACAAACTGCAGTAAGCCCTTTGAAGGAAAAGGTACAGACTTTTGGGTAAGTACAGGATCCCAAAGTGGGACAGATCATGACAATTTCCAGGGACATGAAAAAGGCCAGTCTTCCTGGAGTGGAAACAAAGAAGGACAGTGGCACTGTGTGAGAGGAAGGGAGGGAGGCAGGGCTTGTGGGCCTGGTAAGGGCATTTGTCTTAGTTGAAAGTCGACCTGTCAGATTTCCATCAGAGGGATGATGTAAGTGGATGCACGTTTTTGAAGGGCATCTGGGGTTTCAGTGTGAGGACTGATTTAGAGTGCGGAGAGGGGAGCGGGAAGGCCAAAGGAGCCATTGTTGCTACTGCTGGTGGGAGTGATGGAAGCTTAGTGTCAGCTGGAGGCATGGAGCCTGATGACTATGAGAGATCTCTAAGAAGTGGGATCTGGTTGATTTATGTGGAAGTAGGAAGGACGGGGTCCTAAGGATGACTTCCAGGTCTGATCACCCACCGATATCAGGTTCACAGGGTGAGGGGCTGTGTTGGATGCAATCTGTGCATTCATGTTTAGAGATCAGAGGAGTCTGGGCTATAGGTGCAATCTGGGAGTTATCTGTGTCCCCTGGTGTCTCGGCATCACATGACTGGGAGTGGATAAGCTCTTCCTAGAGACTAGAGGACGGGGAAAGAGCCCTCGCATCCCCGTGTGGCTCAGGCGAAGCACACCAAAGAGGAGCAGGCGGATGGGTCTGTATGCAGTCTGGAAGTGGAGGGGTCAAGAGACGGGCAGACTAGGATGGATCCAGGCAGGTGGGTATGCAGCAGAAAGGTTGAGCAGCCACTGGTTTTGCCCCCAAGGTCAGGGTCTTTGTTTCTATCTCTAGTGCTCAGCCACAGTTTTGTTAAATGAATGAATGAAGGAATGAATAAATTGGTGACCTCAGCTGGAGTTGTGTCAGGCAGATGTACAAGCAGACTTCCCCCAATGAACGAACGTGCCCACTCAGCTACCCTCTACTTCGTAAGCAGATCTTTATTTTACTAGTTTACATGTACATTTGATCTAGTGTGGTAGTAAGCATATTTGGGGATTTTCTGAATTTTATCCTCTGATTGTCCTAAATTTGTGGATGCTGGAAAATCCATGAGCTATAAAACTTTGAGTCAGTGTCCTTTCTAAAGGAGAATCACTTTGAAAACAAGAGAGAAAGCTTCTGGTAAATGGCTCATTCTTGTCTTGGAATTTGGTGCATTTAGAAACAGAGTCTCTTGACTAGCTAGTCCCCCTTCTAACTCGGCCCATCAGGAGAGTGCCTCTCAGGAGTGGACTTGGACTCTGGTGCACTGTGCCTTCCAGGCCCAGACAGCTTCTGTACTCCTTCTCCCTGTCAACTGTGGCAGGGCTCCAGCCTCCCCGTGGCCCGAATTTCCTGTGGGGCAGGGCCTCTCTCTCTCTCCCTCCATTCTGCTCACTCATGGCTGGAACAGTAGATGGTTCACTGTGTAGTCTCTGAGGAGTCAAAAGAAGAAGCTGGGTCTTCTGGTTCCTGCAGGACCAGGGCATCTGATGGGAAGACAGAAGGAGGCTGTCTGCTGCTTCTGAGATGTATTTTTTTTTAATAAAAGATTTTATTTAGGGGCACCTGGGTGGCTCAGTGGGTTAAGGCTCTGCCTTCGGCTCAGGTCATGGTCCCAGGGTCCTGGGATCGAGCCCCACGTCGGGCTCTCTGCTCAGCGGGGAGCCTGCTTCCCTTCCTCTCTCTCTCCCTGCCTCTCTGCCTACCTGTGATCTGTGTCTGTCAAATAAATAAATAAAAAAATCTTAAAAAAAAAAGATTTTATTTATTCATTTGACAGAAGAGAGATCACAAGGAGACAGAGAGGCAGGCAGAGAGAGAGGGTAGAAGCAGGCTCCCCACTGAGCAGAGAGCCTGATGTGGGGCTCAATCCCAGGACCCTGAGATCCTGACCTGAGCCGAAGGCAGAGACTTAACCCACTGGGCCACCTAGTTGCCCCTAAATGTCAGATTTTTAAAGACTGATTTAGAGAAACATTTTTAAAATTCCTGATTATATTACTTCGTATAGGTTCCGTGATGTTGCTGTCGTTGCTCTAAGATTCTGTTAATGTCATCAGTGTGAAAATTGGAAGTTGCTATAGGATGGAGAAGATTGTATGTGTCATGAAATATTTTGAAATAATTAAAGGACTTTACTGAGTAAATTATCACCTATATTCCCACCACCCAAATATAAGTGGAAGATTTTGGAATTAAGGTGTTTTTGAACCATGCACCATTTTTGTTCTTGTACCTGAGCCAATCTAAAAAAACCGGACTGGGTAACATGAGAGGTTTTCTTGTGAGGTGCCTGTACCAGTGCTGTGTCCAGTCTGAATGTCCCCGTTGTCTTCCCAACACACCACAGGACCGTCTTGTCCCTGAGGCCAAACTCCTGTTGATTGGGCTTTCTCAGCCAGGTGGTGTGCTGAGGCCCTTCATTTCCTTCACTGCCCTGGCGCTGTGGGCACCGGGCAGCGGTCTCATTTTCCAAAGGAATGTGAGGTGTGTGCCATGTGACCTGGTCTTGTCTCAGGCCTCCTCATGCTCTTTGATTTTGCCTTGCTTCCTTCTGGAAAAACCTAAGGGGCTCCTAACCTGTGTTTCTGTTTTTAAAGCTCTTTCAGAAAATGTGGCTTACAGCATGTGATCATTTACTCAAGAGATTTTACAGTTACGACAGAAATTTACATAGTATCTGAGCTTTAGGATATAGACCTAAAATGCACAAATAATCTTAACATTCTTCCTGCTTGCACCTAAATTAAGACTTGTAGCTTCCTTTACAAGTAAGGACTCAGATTTAGCCATTAAGAGTTCTGGCTGAAATTAAGGGTGATCAAGAAATAAATCTGGAAAGCTTGAATGGAATCCATCTCTAATAAGCAAATATTTTTTTAGTATCTGAGGATGATATAAATATAAAATGCAAAACAAACTAAAATATACCCACAGCTACCCCCACTCCACATACCCCAAATAAACTTAAACTGCGGACATTTGGTTTGCCAAATTAGCCAGGTTAATTTGGAGCACACTGTTTTCTCCCTGGCCAGGCTGTTCCCTCCTGACCCCCTGCTGTGGCGTCCTTTCCCCAGATCTCCTCGGCTGTGGAGCAATTCCTCAACCCAGGTTGAGAAATCTCAAAGAGGTCTCCCACCCCATTGATGTAACTTTGGCCACCTGCTTTGCAGCCCCTTCCTCTGCTCACGGGGCGCAACTGGCCTCTCTTCCTGTTTCTCTACCGGCAAATGATCTCGATTTCCCCAGTGCTGCCTACACCATACAGATCTTGGTGCCCACTATATGAACCAGAGTCTGGGACTGTTCTGCTCACAGGTTCTCATCTCCATGAAGGGTACTGCCTTCTCCCTGTTTACCCCATCAGCTTCCTCATTGTCCCCTCAGTAAAGGATGGGTTCCTTGAGAGTAGGGCTCCTGTGGTTCTGTCGTCATGTCCTCACTGTTAAGGGGGAGACTTGACAGAAGTTGAATGAGTTGCCTTCTGAAATTCTTTTGTTACCAGAGAATTGGCTTCTCTCTTCCCACTCTGCTGCCTTTGTTCCTGTCTGGCTCCTCTTACTGATGGTTGGTCCCATTGCCCCACTTCGCCTCCACTGCCCTGGGACCTAGGTAGCTCTCAGGAGCAAGCACTTCCCAAAAGGTCTCTGCTTTCCTTAAGATGCTAAACTTAATTTTGTGAAGAGTCCATGAAATGATACATAGAAAGGACTCAAAATAGTACCTGACACACGTGAAGAATTGTCACCACTAACTGTTATGCTCATCTCTATTCTAGGGTAGAGGGAAGTCTTGGTATGATATCAAAGCTTGTGGAAAATACAATCTCAGTCTTTTTTTCTTTTTCTGCTGTGTTGTAAAGCTTAATTTGCCTCTATATTTTGCTTCCCCGAGTCCCCTTTTTCAGCCATACTTGTTGGGTCAATCGCTTACCTTCTATATCTCTTGGTTCACAGACTATTTTAAGAATTAAAATATGGTACAGTAGTACATATTATAATTATATTCCATATCATTCCATAATTATATGTGATCTGGAAACGAGCAAGTGTTGTTGGAGCCAATAAAAGGAAACTATTCTGCACTGCTCACACTTTGCCAAGGATAGTATTCCCGATATTTTGATAGGGTTATTTATTTTTCTATATTTCTTTGCTTCTTCTGTATCATACCCACTGTTTGTCATTTTTGGTTTCTATTTTTTTTAAGTTTCTCTTGTTTTATTATTAAAACTCCATAAGTAATTTTTTTGTAATTCTTTTTTTAAATAGGGTGAATGGAAGGTAAAGTTTTGAGTTCTTAAATTTTGGAAAATGTCCCTTTTTTGACTTCTTGTTTGATAATTACAGAATATTGAATTCTGTTACAGAATATTTCCACCTCCCTTGACCCCTGTACTTTGAAAACATTGGTGTACTAGTTTCTGGCTGCGTTAGTACAGTGTCGCTGATGCTTTAGATCTAGTAGCTAACATTTAACTCTTTCTCAGAGGTTTCCTCGTTTCTCCTTACTGTTGGGAGTATCACCGGGCTGCCCCTGGATGTGGGTCGGCTGTCAGTGGTTATGTGTAGCGTTTTGTGGGGCCTCTAAATCTAGGCGCCTAGCCAGTCATTCTGATCAGGACTGGGACAGCTCCCCAAGCCCCCGGGGGGGGGGGGGGGGCCCCCCCCCCCCCCCCCCCCCGGGGGGGGGGGGGGGGCCCTCCGCTCCTCCCACCTCTAGCGAGTGGGTGGGGCTCCGCACCGGGCTGGAGGCGTGTGGGCGGGGTTCCTTTAGGAAGTTCCAACTGTCTGTAGGGTTTAAACTGAGGGTTCTTCAACAAATCCAAGGAGCAGCTTTCTTTCAGATTATCCACAAATTTTGGACTCCTGTGGATACCCTGTTTCGTTTTCCATGTTGGGTTTCGTTCTTTTTGTTGTGGCTTTGGTTTTTGTTTGAATTTTTGGTCTTATTCATAGGAATCCAGGAGAAAAACTAGCAGACCTGTATGCTCCATTTGCAGTCCTTAGCTGGAAACTAGGAACATTCCCAAACCCTTGAATTTGGGAGGAAAGTGTTAAAAACTCTCAGTATTATAAAAATGTAAATTTTTCACTGCCTGTGTCTTTTTTTTTTTTTAATATAGTATCCCTAAAATAAAATGTGCTAGTAAAATTGGGCAAAGTGGGTGGTAGATATTTTGCAAAACTGTTATTTGTTGAAACAAGCAATTGTGCACTGGCAACCAAAGTATTTCTCTCCTTGCATATACTTTTTCATTTGGAGTCTCAGCCACCTAAAGTAGGATTATTTAGAGTCTTAGAACGACTTGGCATGGGTAAACCCTTTAATTGAGGAATTTGTTATGGCTTCCTTACTTTTCATTAATTTTTATTTAATTCTTAAGCTTTACAGCCACTATAGGAGTACTTCAATACTGCTAAAAGAACAACTGATTTTCTTGCTGTTTAAATAAACCTATTTTGAACATAACATTTCTGTGTTATATCCCTCTTGATATTTTGACTAAATATTAGTGCCTTGTTCTCAAAACAATATCAGTGTGTGTGGTAAGGTTAAGGTTTATAACATATTGCCCCACTGAAAAGAAAAAAAAAATCCCAAGAGCTGTTTTAAAATAATTAAACATATGTAATGTTTGTAACTGGTAAAAATGTAGCAAAATGGAAAAGAGTTTCTAAAAATGTACTTAAGTACATTCTTGTGGTGTATTTCACATACCTGCAGTTTGGGCCAAACACACTGTGGGGTGGGGACAGACCTATGGGAGGATGGAGCCACATCTCTTCTCTGCCCGTCTCCGCTCTGCTGTGACCTTGACTGCTCTGTTCCCCAGGAGTACTGCTCCCCTGTGTAATTCCTTTTGGAGAGCAGCAGGGATATTTCCAATTACACGTCACACACCTTTCTTTATCAATTCTTTTTTTTTTTTAAGATTTTATTTATTTATTTGACAGAGAGAGATCACAAGTAGGTGGAGAGGCAGGCAGAGAGAGAGAGGAGGAAGTAGGCTCTCCGCTGAGCAGAGAGCCCGATGCAGGGCTCAATCCCAGGACCCTGGGATCATGACCTGAGCCGAAGGCAGAGGCTTTAACCCACCGAGCCACACAGGTGCCCCTCTTTATCAATTCTTCCAGCTCCTTTGGCTCTGTCCAGATTTTATAAACATTCATGATGACCCAGTCTACATTAGTAAACAAATGAGTAGTTTAAAAAAAAAAACCCACAAATACTATTTTTTACTTTTTTCTTTTTAATCAGGTGAAAACAGCAGTTCAGAAAAAACTTTCTGAATTGTAATGATCATATTGGTTTATTTCTTATCTCCTTCCCTCACCTAGAAAAGGATTATAGCAGTCTTTGTGATAAGCAACCAATAGGAAGACTTCTCTTCAGGCAATTCTGTGATACACAGCAAGATCTAAAGGGATGCATTGAATTCCTGGATGCAGTGGTAAGCAATTTAGCTCTGTGTTGAACTACCCATTCTTGTGCATGTGAAAATTAACATACTAGATCTGAAAAATTAGGTCTAAGTTCAGTAGACCTTGGCAATGACAGTAAGAGTAGAAAAACTGGTTTTTTGGTGTCATGTTACCTCGGTATGGAAGTCCTTATATGATACATCTCCATATCTGCGGTTTTTGCTTTCTGTGCTTTCAGTTAACTGAGGTCAGCTGGAGTCTGGAAGCAGATGGTCTGCCTTCCGTCCTGTGGTCAGTGCAGGCGCACTCAGATATTGCGGGTCTATGTCCACACCACGGCAAGAAGCGAATATCGCAATGAAGCATGTCAAATAAATTTTTTGTTTTCCATTGCATATAAAAGTTATGTCTACACTATACTATAGTCTATTAACTGTACAATAACATTAATCTAAAAAAACACTCTGTTGCTAGAAAATGCTAACCATGCTTCAACCTTTCAGCAAGGCATCATCTCTTTTGCTGGTGGAGGGTCCTGCCTGGATGTTGATGGCTGCTGGCTGGTCAGGGTAGGGGTTGCTGAAGGTTGGAGTGTCTGTGGCAGTTTCTTAAAATAAAACAAGATGGAAGTTTGCAACATTGATTGACTCTTCCTTTCACTTGAACACAGTATAGTTTTGTTTTGTTTGTTTGTTTGTTTTAATTTTATATATGAGAGAGAGGGCATGAGCATGAGGGGGGGAGGGGCAGAGGAAGGAGGAGACTCCCCTGAGCAGGGAGCCTGTGGGACTCCATCCCAGGACCCTGGGATCACAACCTGAGCCAAGGCAGAACTGACTGAGCCACCCAGGCACCCCTAGAGGCCATCATAGGGTTATTAACTGGCCTAATTGCGGTATTGTGTGTTGGTGAATGGGGAGGCCTGAGGAGAGGGAAAGAGAGGGGAAGGGCTGGTCAGCAGAGCAGTCAGAACTCACATAATATTTATTAAATTTACTGCCTTATATGAGTGCGGCTCAGGTAGCCCCAAAACAGTTAAAAGGAACATCAAAAATCACTGATCACAGATCACCAAGGTGAATATAATAATAATGAAAAGGTTTAAAATATTGGGAGAATTTACAAATTATGACACAGAGACAGGACATAAACAAATGCTCTTGGAAAAATGGCACCAATAGACTTGTTGGCCAGAGCATTGTTACAGACCTTCGATTTGTAAAGAAGTGCATTGTCTGTAAAGAGCAACAAAGCAAAGCGCAATAAAACGAGGTATGCCTGTATTCTTTCAGAAGGACATTTGAGGGTCTTGCCTATCCTCCATGCAGCTCCCCAGCCCTTTCCTTCCTGGTGTCTTTACTAGAATAAGACAAAGCTTTGAAAGGAGGTTTTTTTCATTTTTTGTTTTTTGTTGTTGTTGTTGCTGTTTTAATTTAAGCTAGAACTCTGGTGTAGTGGGACAGGCCTTGTCAGTTCCAGTAGAATGTAGATATGTCCTAGTATATTGAGTTCTATTTGCCAAGCTGCTATGTTTTAAGAATTTAGGGACCTCCAGCTCTATATTTCAAAATGGCTAAACTGTATTGTTAAAGTTCCTTCAGGTTTGGATCTTCTTTTTTTTTTTTTTTAAGATTTTATTTATTTATTTGACAGAGATCTCAAGTGGGTGGAGAGGCAGGCAGAGAGAGAGAGAGAGGAGGAAGCAGGCCTCCCACTGAGCAGAGAGCCTGATGCAGGGCTTGATCCCAGGATCCAGGGACCACGTCCCGAGCCAAAGGCAGAGGCTTTAACCCACTGAGCCACCCAGACGCCGCATGTTTTGGATCTCCTGATAGTGACATGAGACCTATTAATGGTTAGGTGACCACCAGTTGACTGCAATGACAGGTTCTGTTCGGTTTTGTGTTGTTTTTGATGGCAGCTGTGTGAGTTAGTGAAGAACGCCTTGTTATGCCACTTGTACAGTTCGTGCTGCTTGGACTGTCCTTGTGGTGGGTGACTGCGGGTTCTTGGAGCTTCGGCAGTGGAGAGATGGCATCTTGCTATCTTGCCTAGTTCCCTCATGGCACCCAGTGTGATTGTTCGCTCTTTACTGCTTAGTGTTTGTTGACTGGCTTAATGGCATCTTTGGCAATTAGTGTTCAGTGAGAGAAACAACCAATAGGAGAGATTTATTAAGTTTTTTTTTAAGTTTTTATTTATTTATTTGACAGAACACAAGTTGTGGGAGTGGGAGAGGGAGAAGCAGGCTGCCTGCTGAGCAGAGAGCCCCACATGGGGCTTGATCCCAGGACCCCGAGATCATGGCCTGAGCTGAAGGAAGATGCCTAGTGACTGAGCCACCCAGGTGCCCCTATTAAGAGGTTTATTGCAAGGAATTGGCTTACAGGACTGTGAGGTCTGGCTAGGAGAGTCTTAAATATATAGGACAGGAGGGAATCCTCCCAAAATGGAGTAAGCTGCTTTCCTCAGGCAGCATTCCTTCAGGAAGCCTCAGCTCTGGTTTTAATGCCTTTCAACTGATTGAATCAGGCCCACCCAGATTCTCTAAAATAATCTCCTTTACTTAAAGTCACCTGGTAAAGACTTTAATCACACCTACAGGTATGAGCCCAGCAATGACTAGATGAGTATTTGAACACCTGCACCTGGACATTGTTTCTAACACGTTGGCATGTGGAAAGACCCTCACAAAATCCCAGTGCTTTCTTTTCTGTTGATTTCATGCCATCCAGCATCCAGAACGTGAGCTGGAAGGTTCTCTAAGTCAGCGGGGTTTAGTTACTAGTCGAGGTCAGTACAGTGCCCTTGAACACAGAACAGGAAGCTGGCTCTGACTGGGTCACGGCCTGACAGCCGTGGCTCCCAGGCTGGGCCCGTGGAGGAGGCAGAATCAAGTACGAGGTACGACTCCTGCCCACAAGGGCTTTCTGTGTTCAGTACATGAACTTCCTTCGGTCTTGGTTTCCTCACTAATCTCTCCAAGCCCATCTGACTATTAGCTTCGCTGTTCTTCTCAGCCCCGAGCTGCAGGATCCAGTGGCTTCCCTGAGGCCTCCTTGTGCCTGAGTCTCCAAGTCTGTTGACATTGTGGAGCAATCTCTGCTTGAAATTCTCTTAGCCGGGCTTTTATGATCTCGGCTCAGGCTTTCTCTCTTCTTTCTTTGCAGTTTCTTCCTTGCTTGTTCTCTTGTAGAGGTTTAGATATTGATCAAGTTCTGCCTTGACCCTTCCTTTGGCTTCTGGCCTGCGTGGTAGCAGCGTCTCTTACAATCCCCTGCCTGACGCCTGCACAGGGACGTCTCCTGCTTTGGCGTTGCCAGCTCTGACTTCTCTGGGAGCTCTGTACTCAGGTCTGCCACATGCCTCTTGGACATCTCTAAAATGCTGTTGCCTAGAGCAATGCAAGGTGTTTATTTGGTTCTGTTTGGCCACATTTAAGGGCTGAAAGTGTAATGTGACAGAGAGCACTGTGGAATGTGTTGCTTTACTGCATTGTTCACCCTTAATGGTTTTTTCCCTTCCTTGCCATTAGTTTCCCAAAGAAGAGCTGCAGACACTCGGTCAGTATCAGATCAGTTAGAGCTACTCTGCGGTTCTTAGGGCACCCAGCCAATTCCGTATTTCAGAGAATCTGAAACCCTGTGAAGTCAGTGAAGAAGCTCCACTACTATTTACCTTTGTTCTCATCTCTACCGTCAGGCAGAATATGAAGTGGCCTCCGACGAGGACCGCAGAAGCTGTGGACTGCAAATCCTACACATGTTCTTCGATGCCGAGGTGTGTTTTCTTCCTTAGATGCAAAGATTTGTTAATGCTTGCTTAAATAATTAGAGTACATTGCCCTTCTTACTTAGTTGGATAAGATATAACAAGTATGTTAAAATCTTTAATTTCTTATAAATAATCCTCTTATGCATTTTCTTTTGAGTTGGTGAGGAAATTAACAAATCTCTTAGAAAATTAATTCAAAGAATTTAAAAGTTTCTATGTTTCCTCAAACAGAAAACAGCATTAGAGAATTTTATTTGTCTTGGACTGAAAATAACGTTTTTTTCCTAAAAGCTTTAATGGGTCTTAGGTTTTATGCTTTTTCATTCAGTAGACTATCCTTACAGTTTACTGTGTCCTGAAATGAGAGCTGTCACTTGCTTCCCTTCACAAGACTTCTCTTTTGTAGGCTGTTAAAAGTCCTAAACCCTGGGCAGGCCCCTCTGTGTTGTAGCGTTGGAGGAGAACAGTAACAAGGATAACTAACCTTTAGTGAATACCGCTCTGAGCTGTGTACATGTGAGTTGTTTAATACAACAGTCCTATGAGATGGGTTCATTATTATGTCCATTGTCGTAGGTAAGACTGAAAATCAGAGTGGTTAAATGGCTCACCAAAGGTTGCACAGCATGTTAAGTGCGGGAGCCAGGAATCAATCATGGAGAGATTGTGCTTGGAGAAAAGCATAGTGAGAATGAGTCCAAAATGTTCAGATTCTGAGCCTAGCTCGCTGAAGATGGTAGGGGAAGCTCACTGGTGCAAAAGATAATGTGGGGGGCAGGGAAGGCCAGTGGATTGGCAAAGATAAACGCACAACCAGTGGTGTCAGAGTTTGCCTCAGACCAAATAGGTTTTGACTCCAAAGCCTGTGCTCGCCTTAGCCGCCAGCATCAATACCAGACTATCATGGCTCCTAGATCATTTCCAACACAGGTGCTACAGCATTCACGTAAATTGCAGGTACCCCCAGTGACTGGGAGGAGTTGATGTTTCATTCACCTAATTCCATTGCGTTTTATTTTTTTTAATTTAAATCACTGAATAGTTTTGTATTTTTTTTGACAACAGATATAAAACTTTTTTGCCATAAAAATAATTTTGACATTGACATTATTTTATAACTCTATTCTGATTAGTCAAAATATGAAACATTTAATTTTCTCCATGAGCTTTTTTTTTTTTTTTTTAAGTTTTAATCACCAGTGTTCGTCACAAGTGCCCCTCTTAATCCCCATCACCTATTTCACCCATCCCCCCAGCCCACCTCCCTCTGGTGACCATTCGTTTGTCTTCCATAGTTAAGAGTCTATGTCTTGGTTTGTCTCTCCTTTTTTTTTTCTTTGCTCATTTGTTTTATTTATTTTTTTTTAATTCCATGTGTGAGTGAAATTATATGGTATTTGTCTTTCTCTGTCTGATTTATTTCACTTAGCATAACACTATCTAGCTCCATCCATTTCATTGCAAATGACAAGGTTTCATTCTTTTTTATGGTGTAATATTCCTAGATAGATAGATAGATACATACATACATACATAGACCACATCTTTATCCATTCATCAGTCAATGGACCCTTAGGCTGCCTCCATAGTTTGGCTATTGTAAATAATGCTGCAATAAACAGGTGCTTATATCCCTTTGAATTAGTGCTCTCATATTCTTTGGGTAAGTACCCAGTAGTGTAATTAATGGATCATATGGTATTTCTATTTTTAATTTTTTGAGGAACCTCCATACTGTCTTCCACAGTGGCCACACCAGTTTGTATTCCCACCTATAGTGCATGAGGGTTCCTTTTTCTCCACATCCTCACCAACACTTGTTTCTTGTCTTTTTGATTTTAGCTATTCTGACAGGTGTGAGGTGGTATCTCACTATGGTTTTGATTTTAATTTCCCTGATGATGAGTGATGTTGAGCATCTTTTCATGTGTCTGCTGGCCATCTGGATATCTTCTTCTGCCTGTCTCTAATCAGATTATTTGTCTCTGGGACATTGAGTTTTAGAAGTTCTTTATATGTGTTAGATACTAACTCTTTCTTGGGATATGTCATTTGTAAATACTTCTCCCAATCAGTTAGTTATCTTTTTGTTTTGTTGATTGGTTCCTTCACTGTGCAGAAGTTTTTTATTCTAATAAAGTCCCAATACTTAATTTTTGCTTGCTTCTCTTGTCTCAGGAGATATTATCTAGAAAAAAGTTGGTCCAGCTGATGTCAGAAAAATTACTGTCTTTGCTCTTCTGGGATTTTTGTGGTTTCAGGTCTCACAGTTAGGTCCTTAATCCATTTTGAGTTTATTTTTATGTGTGGTATAAAAAAGTGGTCCAGTTTTCCAAACACCATCTTTTCCCATTGCATATTCTTGCCTCCTTTGTTGAAGATTAATTGACCATATAATTGTGGGTTTATTTCTGGGTCTTCTATTCTGTTCTGTTGATCTGTGTGTCTGTTTTTGTGGCAGTAACGATAGGTTTTTGACTACTAAGCTTTGTAATGTATCTTAAAATCTGGAATTGTGATACCTCCAGGTTTGTTTTTCTTTTTCAAATTTGCTTTGGCTATTCAAGGTCATTGTGGTTCCATTTAAATTTTAGGATTGTTTATTCTAGTTCTTTGAAAAATGCTGTTGGTATTTTGATAAGGATTGCATTAAATTGCTTGGGGTAGTGTAGACATTTTAACAATACTCGTTTTTCAAATCTGTGAGCATGTAATATCTTTCCATCTGTTTGCATCATCTTCAATTTCTTTCCTCGGTGTTTTAAAATTTTCAGAGTACAGACCTTTCACCTCCTTGGTTGAGTTTATTCCTAGGTATTTTATTATTTTTGGCATAATTATAAATGAGATTGTTTTCTTAATTTCCCATTCTGCTGCTTCTTATTGGTGTATAGAAATGCCATGGGTTTCTATACATTGATTTTGTATACTGCAACCTTAGTGAATTAGTTTATCAGTTCTGGTAGCTTTTTGGTGGAGTCTTTAGGGTTTTCTGTATGTAGCATCATGTCATCTGCAAATACGAGACGTTTTACTTCTTCTTCACCAATCTGGATGCCCTTTATTCCTTTTCTTGTCTGATTGCTGTGGCTAGGACTTCCAGTATTATGTTGAATAAAAGTTGTGAGAATAGACATCCCTGTTTTGTTCCTAAATGCCAAGAAAAAGCTCTGTTTTTCTCATTAGGGATGATGTTAAGTGTGAGTTTTTCACACATGGCCGTTATTATGTTGGGGTGTGTTCTCTCAAAACCTACTTTGTTGAGGGCTTTCATCATGATTGGATGTTATACTTTGTCAGATGTTTTTTCTGTGTCTGTTGAAATGATCATATGGTTTTTATCCTTTCTCTTGTTGATATGATGTATCATATTGATTGATTTGCAAATATTGAACCACCATTGCAACACGGGAATAAACCCCACTTGATTGTGAATGATTGTGAAATTTTTTTTTTCCAGTGTATTGTTGGATTTGGTTTGCTAGTATTTTGTTGAGGATTTTTGCATCTGTATTCATCAGAGATGTTGGCCTGTAGTTCTCTTTTTTTTTTTGTGGTGTCTTTATCTGGTTTTGGTATCAGGGTAATACTGGCCTCATGGAATGAATTTGGAAGTTTGCCTTCCTTACCCAGTTTTTGGAATAGTTTGAAAGGAATAAGTATTAATTCTTCTTTAAATGTTTGGTAGAATTCACCTGTGAAACCATCTGGTCCTGGACTTTTGTTTGTTGGGAGGTTTTTTTATTTTTTCTTTTAATGATTCAGTTTCTTTGCAGATAATTGATCTGTTCAGATTTTCTATTTCTTCCTCTTTCAGTTTCGGTAGTTTATATGTTTCTAGGAATTTATCCATTTCTTCTACATTGTCCAATTAATTGGCATATAGTTTTTCATAATATTCTCTTAGAATTGTTTGTACTTCGGTGGTGTTTGTTGGTATTTCTCCTCTCTATTTGTGATTCTATTTATTTGGATCCTTTATCTCTTTTTCCTTGATGAGTCTGGCTAGAGGCTAATCAACTTTATAGATTTTTTTTCAAAGAACCGGCTCGTGGTTTCATTGATCTGTTCTATTGGTTTTTTAGTTTCTATATCGTTTCTTTCTGCTCTAATATTTATTATTTCCTTCTTTCTGTTGGTTTTAGGTTTTGTTTATTGTTCTTTTTCCAACTCCTCTAGATATAAGGTTAGGTTATTTATTTGAAATTTTTCTTGCTTTTTGAAGTTGGCCTGTATTGCTATAAACTTCTCTCTCACAGCTATTTTGCTGCATCCCAAAGGTTTTGAACCATTGTGTTTTTTCATTTGCATTTGTTTCCATGTACTTTTCTATTTCGTCTTTTATTTCCTGGTTGACCCATTCATTGTTTAGTAGCATGGTATTTAACCTCCTTGTATTTGTGGTCTTCCCAGATTCTTTTTGTAGTTGACTTTCAGTTTCATAGTGTTGTGTCAAGAAAAGATACACACACAGCATGACTTTGATCTTTTTAAATTTGTGAAGGTTTATTTTGTGACCTAACGTGTGATCTTTTCTGGAGAATGTTCCATGTGCACTTGAAAAGAATGTATATTCTGCTCTTTGAGGATGGAATGTTCCGAATATATCTGTTAAATCCGTCTGGTGCAGTGTGTCATTCAAAGCCATTGTTTTCTTGTTGATTATCTGTTTCGATAATCTGTCCATTGAGGTAAGTGGGGGGTTAAAGTCCCCTAATATTATCCGTTATTATCAATTAGATCCTTTACATTTGTTATTAACTGTTTTATGTACTTGGGTGCTTACAGGTTGGATGCACAAATATTGACAATTCTTATATTCTCTTATAGGATTGCCCCTTTATTATTTATTATGTAATGCCCTTCCTTGTAGCTTATTATAGTCTTTGTTTTAAAGTCTATTTTGGGGACACCTGGGTGACTCGGTGGGTTAGAGCCTCTGCCTTTGCCTCGGGTCATGATCCCAGGGTCCTGGGATCAAGCCCCGCATCGGGTTCTCTGCTCATTGGGGAGCCTGCTTACTCCTCTCTCTCTCTGCCTGCTTCTCTGCCTACTTGTGATCCCTGTTTGTCAAACAAATAAATAAAATCTTAAAAAAAAAAAAGATTGTTTTGTCTGGGGTAAGTATTGTTGCTCTGGCTTTCTCTTGACAAGCCTTTGCATGATAGCTGTTTCTCCGTCCCCTCACTTTCCCTGGCTGGTGTCTTTAGGTCTAAAATGGGTCCCTTATAGGGAGCATATAGTTGGGTCTTCTTTTCTCATCCATTCTGTCACCCTGTGTTTTTTGACTAAAGCATTTAGTTCATTTACATTCAAAGTAACTATTGATAGATCTGTACTTAATGTCATTTTATTGCTTGTTTTTTGGTTGTTTCTGAAAATATTCTCTCATCCTTTCTTGTCTTTCTCTCTTTGATAGTTTGCTGGTTTTCCTTAGTGATATATTTGAATTTACTTCTCTTTATTCTTTGCATATTTATTAGTGGTTTTTGATTAGTGGTTCCTATTAGGGCGATACATAACACCGTCATACAACAGTCTGTATTAAGTTCATGGTCGTTTAAGTTTGAACCCATTCTTTACTCCTTTCCTTCCCACATTTTGAGTTTATGATGTAATATTTACATCTTTTTATTTTGTGAGTTCCTTGACTGTTTTTACAGAAGAATTCATTTTTACTGCTTTTGTATTTCCTCCCTTCATACCATCCTTTTTGGTTTTCCTTTCCATTGAAGTCACTTTTAATATTTCTGGCAGGGCTGGTTTAGTGATAAGCTCCTTTAGTTTTGTTTGCCTGGGTGAATCTTTATCTCTCCTTCTTTTTTATTTTTTAATAAGTATTTTATTTATTTATTTGAGAGAGAGAGTGCACAAGCAGGGCATGGGGTGGGGAGGGGCAGAGGGAGAAGCAGGCTCCTGGCTGAGCAGGGAGCCTGACTTGGGGCTTGATCCCAGGACCCTGAGATCATGACCTGAGCCAAAGGCAGACATAGTAAAGATGGAAAAATGCCTCATTTCTGTTAGATCATTTAAATGACACCTATTAATGGCTATAGTTATATCAGTATTGCTCATTTTTAAAAATGAGTTTTCTATATTGTATATTTCAACTTTGATGAAAGTATTTCTTTGATTTGTAGAAAACCCAGTTTTGCTCTGCTAGCTTAGCTATACCACTGCCAGAAATCAGTCCAGAATGCATTTCTCATGCCTAATGACAAACTAAATGTGTAATTGAACATGATCTGGGTATCTTTTTCAATAACTCTGGAAAAAAGTTTTGTTATGTGTTTTCTTTCTCTGAAATTTTCTAGTTGAGGATTTAGAGAATGGGAAGCTGGCATGTAGGGACATAATTAGTGAGAATGTGAAGTGGTAGGGCCTTTTTGGAGGTCAGCTTTGCAATGAATATCAATGTTTAAGAGACAGGTATCCTTTGAGCTAGTAATTCTACCTCCAAGAATCTGTCTTATAAAAACACCATAGTACAAAGATAGGCATAGCAGTGGTGTCTGCAGAGGAAGAAATGGGTAGCTAGAATGTGTCAGAAGGACAAATAAACACATCCTCTGGAAAACCATTCAGTCTTTGGGAAAATACAGTAGCTTTCTCAGTTGCAGCACATATTTACAAAACTACATATATATTTTTATCACCTTTGTGTGAGAAAAAATCGTGTATTTCTGAGGGTTTGTGTCCATGTGGATGTGTTTACATTTTTTTTAAAAGATTTTATTTATTTATGTGACAGAGATCACAAGCAGACAGAGAGGCAGGCAGAGAAAGAGGGGGAAGCAGGCTCCCCGCTGAGCAGAGAGCCTGATGCGGGACTCGATCCCAGGACCCTGAGATCATGACCTGAGCCGAAGGCAGAGGTTTAACCCACTGAGCCACCCAGGTGCCCCTACATTTTTAATTGTGACAAAAAAGACATAAAGTTGATCATCGTAGCCATGTCTAAGTGCACAGTTCAGTGGCATTACACATACTGACGTTGTGGGCAGCCTTCACCACCATCCGTCTCCTGAACTTTCTTTCTCCTACAGATCTGAAATTCTGTCTCTATGAAACACAGCTCCCACTTTCTCTTCCCATTCCATGTTCTGTCTCTAGTATTCTGACCATTTGAGGGACCTCATAGAAGTGGGATCATACAGTATCTGTCCTTTTGTGGCTGGCTCATTTCACCGGGCATAATGTCCTCAAGGTTTATCCGTGTTGTAGCAGGTCAGAACGTCCTTCCTCCTTGAAGCTGAATGACATTCCCCTGCATGGATGGACCATGGGGTTCATCCATTCATCTGTCAGTGGGCCCTTGGGTTGCTCCCACCTTTTGGATATTGTGCATAATGCTGCTGTGGATATGGTGTACAGATATCTCCTGGAAAACTTGCTTTCCACTCTGATTCAATTTGCTTAGGAAAAGATCTGAAAAGGTGGACAACACAGTGAACTCCGGAAAATGACACCAGGGCAGCAGGTGAAGGTGGCCCTTTGACTTATTTCAGACTCTCGATGTTGTACTTTTTTTTTTTTTTTAAGATTTTATTTATTTATTTGACAGAGATCACAAGTAGGCAGAGAGGCAGGCAGAGAGAGAGGAGGAAGCAGGCTCCCTACCGAGCAGAGAACCTGATGCAGGGCTCGATCCCAGGACCCTGGGATCATGACCTGAGCCGAAGGCAGAGGCTTTAACCCACTGAGCCACCCAGGCACCATGTTGTACTTTTTTTAACAGTAAGCATTAGGTTCTGTTTATAGCTGGTAAATTATGAAATCACTAACTATTATGCGTTTGGTTTGTGCTGTATCAAAAAGGCGGCAGCCCCTTTACCAGAAATACCTGCCCGTGTTTTGAGAGAATGTCGGTTGAGACTGAAGCAGAACCCCGGCAAGGACGTCTTTGAGGAATGCACGAGGTAAGCAGCCCCTGCCATCCCACACAGCCATGTGGCTGACAGCAGATGGAGGCTTACAGGGCCTCTCTCTGCATGACACCAGCTCTTACCAAAGAACTTTCCCAGTTAACGCAGTCACTTTCACTGGAGAGATGTGCATGAGGGGTGATAATTACACAGATGGAAGGGACGCACTGAAGTGGGTCACATCATGGAGACCCAGTGTTTGTGTGTAGCTTTGTGGGTCCCTGTCCCTCCACTCGGCCTTCTGAAATGCGTGTGTGTGGGATAAAAAGATTCCCATAAAGTGTTGTTTTTTAAAGCCCTAGGCACTTGCATCTTTTCTCTAGATGTTTGCAATACAGACAGGAAAATTCCAAGTGAAAGCACTTTGACTAAATCTGGCTTCTGATGTACACAGGGAGAAAGAATGGTTTCTGGACTGATCTGGCCCAGAACACAGAGTCCTCTGTCCAGTCAGGCAGCATTCGGGTGTCATTTCTCCTAAGATCCATTCAACAGAGGCTGGTTCATGCTGGTTCTCTGTTCAGTGCTGTGTCCATTTCCTGGGGCAGCCATCACAAAGTCCCACAAACTTTGGTGGCACAAAACAGTAGAAATGTATTCTCCGGGCTCCTGGGGTGCTCAGTCAGCTCAGGCCATGATCCCAGGGTGGTGGGAAGGAGTCTTACATTGGGCTTCTTGCTCAGCTGGGAGCCTGCTTCCCCCTCTGCCTCTGCCCTCTCCTCCCTGCCACTCGTTCTCTCACTGTCTCTGTCTTGCTCTCAAATCAACAACAGAAATTTATTCTCACAGTTCTGGAAGCTGGGAGTCTGAAGTCAAGGTCTCTCGAGGACAGGATCTTTCCTTGTCCCTGCTTGTCTCCCTAGTGTTTCTGGGCCTGCAGCTGCAGCATTTGAGTCTCTGCTGTCTTTGTCCTTGTGTTCTCTCCTCTTCTTAGAAGAGCACCAGTCCCATTGGATCAGGGCCAACCCCACTCCGGTATGACCTCATCTTAACTCATGGTATTTGCAAAGACCCTTATTCCAAGTAAGGCCAATATTCAGACACCAGGGTTAGGACTCAACATATCTGTTTGAGAGAAGCATTTCAAGTCATAATAGTTTGCTTCTTTGGGTCGAGGTTATGCTAGAGAACAAAATAAAACATTGCGGACTGAGTTTTCGTTCCTACGGGCCTTAAAATAGGAATTGCAGAGCCTCAGCTTATTGTTATTATTTCAGATAATATTAAGCACTTATTTTGTGCTGTCATTGATCTAGTTTCCAGGAGTAAAATGATAAGCAAGGATGAGTTGATTCTCTACTTCTAGGGAGTTTTTACCCAAGTGGAATGTCAGTTTCCTATTGGGGCCATAACAGATTGCCACAGACTTGATGGCCTAAGACAACACACATCTATGTTCTTTCAGTTCGGGAGGTCAGAAGTCTGAAAGCAGTATCACTGGACAGAAATCACATTGTCTGCAGGTCCTTGCTCCATTGAGGATCTAGGGGGGAATCCATTTTTCTTGTTTTTTTCCGGCTTCTAGGAGTGCATTACTTGGCTCGTGGCCCCTTACTCCACCTTCAGAACTAGCCATACAGTGTCCTCAACTTTCTCTCTGCTTCTGACTTTTGGAAGCCTTTTTTTACTGTATACGTCCACATCTCCCTTGGACTCCCTCTTACAGTGACATGTGATGGCATTTAGGGCCCACTCAGATAATCCAAGATCGTTTTCTCATCTCAGGCCCCTTAACTCAGTCATCTGCAGAATCTCTGTTGCCAGGAAGGGTGATAGTCACAGGCTCCAGGAATAGGGACCTGTGTATGTTTGCATCATTGATTATTCAGCCTACTGTAGGCACTGAGTAAGTTGCCAGGGAGGGAGTGCTGAGGGCACGTCTCCTAACCTGGGGCCCCGAGAAGAGCCTTCACAAGACCTTTCCCTGCAGGCTGAGGAGGAGGCCAGGGAGCACAGAGACCTGCAGGGGGAGGGGCTGGTCAAGGATTACTGCTGCTTCACCCCAAGAGGGCCAGGGAGAGGGTCCTTATGGTTCCCTCTCCCTGGTCCTTATTCCCAGGTGCCCTTTCTGTCACTTGGCAAGTGTTCACACAGGAGTCCTCACATGACCTTCTGGAGGTCAACCCTCATTTGACAGAAGAGGAATGGAGGCCCAGGGAGCCAGGGAGAGCAATTAGAGTGACCCATTTCACTGTGGCAGTTGTTCAGGTGATGGCGGCCTGGCCTGCCTAGTGACAGTCATCAAGGAGACAGATGAATGGATTTCAGAGAAATCCGTGAGGCTGCTGGGCTAGGGAGGACAATACAGTTTCTTTGGGGACACATTTGAATTTGAGTTCTTTTCTGGACATCAAGCAGAGCTGAGACATCAACCAGCAGCTGCAACTGGGGTGTTCCTGGAGAGGAACAGGAGGCAGGATCTGGGGTCATAGCCCCTGTGCAGATGTGACCAAGGCCGTGGGGGTGGAGGCAAGACCTGGGCATATGCACAGAGTGGGGATTGAAGAGATGAGTGCACTGAGAGCAGATAGGCACAGCCCCCTTTCTTCTCCCCCTCTGTATCCCTCTGCTCCTACTGCCTGGTTCTGTCCCCTCCCTCCAGTACAGGGCCCCAAGCTGGAACTGCACTGGGGGAGTGGGCCTCCTTTGCGAGAAGGCATTGCTTGTTTGACCGCTTCTCTGGTAGAGCAGACAGGCATGGCCTCGGGTCTCTGATGACTGTAGTCCTGGGGTTTCGTAGTGAGAAGTAAATACATTAACTATACTGGACTTATAGTTAAAAAAAAGATGATAAAAAATAAAAGAATCAGAATTCTCCTTGGCTTCACGTGAGCCATTTGTGAAACTGGAAGGGGCCAATCTTTGGGCGCATGCCTTTGCTCTTCCAAGTCCTCTCCCCCGTGTGCACACGTCCTAAGCTCCTTCCTGTACCTGTGAGGTGAGAGTCCTGCCACGGTAACAACAGACAGGGAGGCTTAGGAACTGAGTTACTCCTCCTAGTGACCAGGAAGTGGCCATGACGGTTATCCTTATTCGGCAGCTTGGGGGATGGAGGCCAGAGAGGTTTGGTAACCTGCCCCAGGCCTTTCTGCTGGTGGGAGGCAGGCTGCTTGAGGACAGAGCAGCCAACATCCACCCATGGATGCATTCCCTGAGAAGGGCCGTCACCAACCTGGTTTGCATGCCACTTTTGCTAAGATCCCACTTTTTGGTTCCATTTTCATTTTGCAGAAACTGCTAGAAAAAATCTAAGAATTCCTAAGTAGTCACTTCAGATACTCTGATTTTGCCCTCTCGGATGTTGGTGTTAGTTTGTAGACACGGGGAAGAGCGCCAGATCCCATAGGCCCTTGTGGTGGTGTCTCCTGGGGGGGGCACCTTTGTGGGGCACATCCACAGTGTGGGCGTAGGCCTGTCTGGCTCCAACACCTCAGTTTCTCCCCTCCTGTGCACAACAGTGGGCGTCGGCAACTGGAAGAACACATGGTTGTGATCAGTCACTCTCTGCTGCCCAGAGTATTCCTTTGTGATTTAGAATTACCAAAGAACTGCATCTTGTTTCAGAGGTGTGTGTCTCCCTGGTGTACAGATCAGCAGCTGTGGAGTGGAGGGTATGTACCCTGTGCTCTGAGACAGGGTGCCAGCAGCCAGGCCGCCCCTGTGCCACATCTCAGGTCATCGTCAGTCATTTCCGCGTGGCTGTGCCTCTTCGTAGGCAGTGTGTGGCAGCACTGCCCCGTCCATGTTTCCTGAGGATGACGGGAGTAGGGCAGAGCCTCAGTGAAGCCATCCTGGGCTGAGGGTCTGGCCCAACCCCTGGAAGATCTCTGTCTGTCAAATAAATAAATAAAATCTTTAAAAAATTTTTTTTTAAATTTTTTACCGGACAGATCACAAGTAGGCAGAGAGGCAGGCAGCTAGAGAGAGGGGGGAAGCAGGCTCCCTGCTGTGCAGAGAGCCCGATGTGGGACTCGATCCCAGGACCCTGAGACCAGGACCTGAGCCAAAGGCAGAGACTTAACCCAAAGAGCCACCCAGGCACCCCTTTGGCTTACATTTTTATTTTTTTTAAGCAAGTTTTTTTTTTTTTTTTTTTTAAGATTTTATTTATTTATGAGAGAGAGAGAGAGAGCGAGCACAGGCAGACAGAATGGCAGGCAGAGGCAGAGGGAGAAGCAGGCTCCCTGCAGAGCAAGGAGCCCGATGCGGGACTCGATCCCAGGACGCTGGGATCATGACCTGAGCCGAAGGCAGCTGCTTAACCAACTGAGCCACCCAGGCGTCCCTGGCTTACATTTTTAAAAAGAAGACACAAACCTTCCACTAGCCATCAGAGCAATGATGTCACATGTCTTGTGCTTCTGGAAAACCCCTCTGTGAAAACGAGGTTTTTGGTTTTTAAAGGCACATGATATCTTAGCATGATTACAAATATAGTTACATTGTTAACCCCACCCCCCAAATCCATAGGGATCCTTAGAACACGTTTTGAGGATCACTGTGCTATAATATTAGTTAGGCCAAGAATTTTTTAATAACCTCCTTTAACAAAATAAAGTAAAATCAAGTGGCTTGCTAAGAATTCTAACAGTCAGTAAAAATGCTGGAATTATTCCCAAGCCTCTTGAGATACTGGCCTAGTAGCAGCTCCCCATGAAAACTATGATCTTTACCCATTTGGGTTTTTGACCATGCTTGGGAGATCCTTTCCTTCTTCCTTCATCTGGGTGACTTCTACTTCAACTCAGACATCACCTTCACCAAAGTGTCCCGAGTATATCCTCTCTCAGGGGAGGTGTTCTGGGCACGCCAGGCACTGAGCCACCCAAGCGCCCCTAATGAACTATTTTAAATAATAAACTACATTCTGTCCCTTACCTACTCTACAGATAAGAATTTTATTACTTTTGTAATAGATATGAAATAATATTTGTATATAATACAATAATAATAATATAAAATTGTATACATTTTGTAATAATATCAAATTGTATAAATTTTATAAAATTCTAAATAAAACTTTAGGAGCATGGCTAATTGTTAAAATTTCTTCTGGAAATATATAGCAAAAAATAGTTCATTGGAGGGTGCCTGGGTGGCTCAGTGGGTTAAAGCCTCTGCCTTCAGCTCAGGTCATGATCTCAGGGTCCTGGGATCGAGTCCCACATCGGGCTCTCTGCTCGGTGGGGAGCCTGCTTCCCTTCTCTGCCTGCCTCTCCGTCTACTTGTGATCGCTCTCTGTTAAATAAATAAAATCTTTAAAAAAAAAATAAAAACATAGTTCATTGGGTACTTTAGTCTCAATGTTAAAAAAAGGTTCTGTCACATATTAACATTTTCTACAATATTATATTGTAATATTATATTGTAGATAAATAAAATAATAAATAAAAAATAAATAAAAAAATAAAAAATAAAATAATATTATATTGTAGATATAATAATATCTACAATATTATATTATAATGACTATTATAATCATTTAGATACTCATTCTAATCTTACATACCAAATGTTTACCATCCCTACTGAAACACAGGTGCTTGGATGCATGTGTACACACACACACACACACACACACACACACCCCTTGAATACATATATATAAAAAGAAACTTTGACTTTGGGAGGGTAAACAATTTCATTTCTTTTGAATTCTTGCCTTCATATTTTTACTGATAACATCAGAAATGAGTGTGGAATTCTATAATTGCAAAATTTGATGTATTTAATTATATAAAATGATTGACTTCCCATACCCAGTGTTGATGAATATTCTGAAACAGTTGTTTTCATATTGTAATGCAATAAATGTATATAATTACGTAAAATCTTTTTCTAGAATTGTCCATAACTACTTAAGTGGAGAACCATTTGAAGCATACAAAGAAAGCTCATATTTTTCTCGATTTCTACAGTGGAAATGGTTGGAAAGGTATGTTCTGATTTAAAATTCAACAGAAACAAGTAGTAACTTCTCACAATATATACTGATTAATGTATACTTTTCCATCTCTCAAGATAATATTGGAAATCTTGGGCTGGATATGGTATTGCACAGAAATTATTAATATGTGTTATGTAATTTCTTCTGATTTAGTTGACTCTTTTCTCTCCTTTTAAAATGACAGTCAGCCCTATGGACATAGTAGTTAGAAAATAAAACATATCCTAGATTCACAGAAATAGAACCTGAAGTACACTGGTTCAGTCTTGCAGGACTAGCCACATAGACTCAGTCAAGGGACTTGACCTTCATGAGCATCAAGTCCCTGAAAACAGAGGAGACAGAGAGGCAGGCAGAGAGAGGGGAAGGGAAGCAGGCTCCCTGCTGAGCAGAGAGCCTAATGCAGGCCTTGATCCCAGGACCCTGAGATCATGACCTGAGCCAAAGGCAGAGGCTTTAACCCACTAAGCCACCCAGGCGCCCCTGCTTAATTCTCTTAATGTAATGGAAGGAATCCCACCCGAGGGAACCCTTGCCTCAGACACTCCCTTTGAACAGCGCAGTGTCATAAGGAAGGCCAGGACAGGAGCTAGGTAGGCTTTTGGCTTTAAAATAACATTGTGGGGGCGCCTGGGTGGCTCAGTAGGTTAAGCCTCTGCCTTCGGCTCGGGTCGTGATCTCAGGGTCCTGGGATTGAGCCCCGCATCGGGCTCTCTGCTCAGTAGGGAGCCTGCTTCCTCCTCTCTCTCTCTCTGCCTGCCTCTCTGCCTACTTGTGGTCTCTGTCTGTCAAATAAATAAATAAAATCTTTAAAAAAAAAAAAAACATTGTGATGTGACACCTGAAGCTGAAGCTTTTTTTTTTTTAATTAATTAGGCAACCAGTAACAAAGGACACATTTAGACATTACAGAGTTCTAGGAAAAGGCGGATTTGGTGAGGTAAGTAATATGGGACTAGCTATAAGCAATACTTCTAGAAAAGTTGAACAGCAAGGTACTTGAGAGACATGAATGTGTCAGCTTTACCAATACCTTTATTTCCTTACTGTGTATTTTGGGAATGATTTAGCCAATCACAAGAATTAAGATTGAACTTCAAACAAAAGTACTTTGCTACCTGCTTTTAGAAGATTCAGAGATCTGGAAAGAAAAAAATCACCGTCTTCATTATTTTTTTTCTTTCACTATATGTTTCTTAAAAAGTTATTTCCCCGCAAAAAAAAAAAAAAAAAAAAAAAGTTATTTCCCCGCATCCGATTATTTGACATTCAAGCTCAGTTTGTCTTGATGGAAAAGATGTTTCTTTCCATATTGCCAAATTTCTTTTTTTTTAAATGTTTTAAATTAACATATAATGTATTATATGCCCCAAGGGTATAGGTTTGTGAATCATCAGGCTTACACGCTTCACAGAACTCACCATATCACATACGCTCCGCAGTGTCCATAAACCAACCACCCTCTTTACACCCCCTCCCCTGGCTACCCTCAGTTTGTTTTGTGAGATTAAGAGTGTCTTATGAGTTTGTCTCCCTCCCGATCCCATCTTGTTTCATTTTTTCCTTCCCTACCCCCTAAACCCCCCACTTTGCCTCTCAAATTCCTCATTTCGGGGAGATCATATGATAATTGTCTTTCTCTGATGACTTATTTTGCTCAGCATAACACCCTCTAGTTCCATCCACGTCATTGCAAATGGCAAGATTTCATTTCTTTTGATTGCCGAATTTCTGTTGCTCTATTTCCGTAATTTAAAACTAGCCTAAAAGCTGATATAGTACAGAGTATATTATTGAGTGTGCTTATTGATCTCAACTCTATGTGGACATGTATGTGCTTCCACACCTATATCAAAAGATACTAGAAAATGTGTAAATTTAGGAAAATGTTAAGAAAACTACTTAGGTAGTTGGTGGTAGATGGTTGGTTGGTAGATGATCCAGTATGATGGCCCTCCTAGATAGAGACTCTTGTGCAGGGCGGACAAAGAATCACCACAGTTCTGGTTAGGTCATTAAAAGAGGTGTTAATTGCCTCATTCCTTATCTGGAGTGCTCATATTCAGTTCCAGCATTTCTAACTCCCCAGAGCGGGGACAGCCGCCGGGAACCGAAGCTGCATGTGTGGTCAGAAGCAAGTTAAACTGCCGGCTTGTGACTGAAATCACCCATGCTCCCAAATTCCCAGGGAAGGCCTAAACCAAAGCCTCAGAGATCCCTCAACGTGCATTAGGCAGCAGACCTAAGAGGCCTCATCCCACAAGGGAGGCCTGTCCTCCATCTGGGCTAGGCTGTGGCGAGACATTGGCTCACGTCACCGTTACCTCCGGGGAAGAAGAGTGGTGTTGTGCCTGACACAGTTCTGGAGACCTGTTGGAGCATTTCCAGTGAGCCGTCTACACGCTTGCTGTAACCGTTCCAGGCCAGAGATTCTGTAATAAATGCATCCTCTGCTTGAATACCTCCTCAAGCAGACAATTTACTCGTGCTTTTTAATTCGTGCTAGTCTAGGTGCCTCCTTAGCGCAGTAGGAAGCGCGTCAGTCTCATAATTCGTGCTAGTCTGCCTTTCGTGATGTCCGAGTGTGGAACTCAGATTCTGTCCAAGAACAGAGGATGGTCTGAGCTCTTGTGTTTACAAAAGAATGTAGCTCTACTTAGAGCCACATGGAGGTTTTAGCCACGGACGTAGTAGTAACGTGTTAGCAAATTTTAACTGTTGTGAAAGATGTGGTATATTTATATTTATAGATTATTTTTTAACACATTTACTTGTATTTCCACACAGAAGATTGTACAGACGCACACAGAGTTCTGGTTTTTCACAGACCTGTTCTGGATGTGCCATTTGTTGCACTGAGTCTGTGGGGGAGCAAATAGTCCATTTCCATTGTGTGTCCCTATCAGAGGAAGCCCCGTGACCCTAATGCAGACAACCTCAATGCCTTTGAAGTCTATATTCCAGTGGTGGATTTACTTTTTCCAAATGCTAACACCTCTTCCAGCGGGTTTGCAAGGACAAACATTTTGGTCTTACTTTGTTGACCACAGTGCTTTTCCATAGGCTTCAAGTCCCCCAGAATAGATTTGTGGGGTCCTGCGGCGGCACCGAGGGTAGAGAGTCAGTGGTGTCTCTGCGCGCATGGCCGCAGAGGCAGCACAGAGCCGTGGAGAGGACTCATGGGCAGCAGCTGGGCTTGCTTCCTGCTGTGTGACTGCAGCCTCCCCATTTCCTCCTCCTCACGACAGGGACACGATCCCTGCTGCCCTAGCTGGTGGAGCAGCGAATGGGTCTTCGTGTCCAGATGAGAGTACGGTGTCCGGCCTTCTTACTTCTTTTCCCTTCTCTTTCTTTGACTTGGCAGTTCCACTTAAAAGAATCTGTGATAGGGGTGCCTGGGTGGCTCAGTGGGTTAAGGCCTCTGCCTTCGGCTCAGGTCATGATCCCAGGGTCCTGGGATCAAGTCCCAAGTCGGACTCTCTGCTCAGCAGGGGGCCTGCTTCCTCCTCTCTCTCTCTGCCTGCCTCTCTGCCTACTTGTGATCTCTGTCTGTCAAATAAATAAATAAAATCTTTAAAAAGAAAAAAGAATCTGTGATAAAGAGATATACCAAGATTAATGTGCCAAGACTTAATGGTGAGAAAATGAGTAAATAAATTTTGGAGAAGTCAGATATTGGGAGAACTTTAATGATGAGAAAACAGTCACACTGTAAGATGAAAACAGGAGATTATAAAATATTTTCTATTCTGTAATATAAGGTCAGGTTCCCCACCCAAAATTCAGGAGGACTCACATGGCTACACGGTTAGCGTGGAATTCCAGTGAGTTTTATCATTGTTCTTACTAGTACTTCCAGTATTTTCCACAATGAACTTTACATTTTATCAAGATCATATTATTGATGGATTAAAATGATACGTTTCTTGTTTGCTTATAAGGAGACTGTATCTGTGTATGTGTGGTATGTACATGTGTTATGTGTGTGAGGTGCGTACATGCCTGTGGTATGCGGTAGGTGTGTGTGGGGAGTGTGTGCGTGTGTGTGTACGCGGTGGGTATGTCTGAGGTGCATGTGGTGAGTGTGTGGTATGTGTGTGGCAGGTGTGTGTAGGTGTGTGGTGTGTGTATCTGTGTGTATGGGTGCTCGGGCAGTGGATGGGAGTCAAAGGAAACAAGGTAGCCCCATGTTGACAGCCCAGAAACTGTGGGATAGCTACTTGGGAGCTCATTATAGCCCCATCTCCACTTCTGTGATTTTGGACATTCTTTCCTAGTGGGAAGGTAAGTGATGTGTAAATAGTATTTTAATAACTAAGCATGAAAGTTTATGAATTCTGTGCAATATCTTATATTCTTAAACTTTTTAAAAGAAAGAGGAATCAGTTTAGTTTTGAACACTGTGGCCTTGTGCAAGGACTGAAGGACCCAGGGAGACCCTGGCTGACCCATCATGCTGTGTCACCTGTGAGCAGCAGGCAGAGCGTGACCCCCTCCTCCCCTGTCCAGTCCACTAGCCCCTTGCGACTCTTCACCCGTGGGGCTGATCCTGGAGAAATGGGGCTTGGTTGTTGCTGGTAGTGGTGGTGGTGGCAGCCTAAGAGGTGGCAGGTGTGTAGAAACCTTTTTTCCACTTTTTTAAAAACTAGGTTTGTGCCTGTCAAGTGCGAGCTACAGGAAAGATGTATGCATGTAAGAAGCTAGAGAAAAAAAGAATAAAAAGGAGGAAAGGTGAAGCCATGGCTCTCAACGAAAAGAGAATTCTAGAAAAAGTGAATAGCAGATTTGTAGTGAGTATCTGGGTTTAGTCTTTGCTGAGGATGGCACGGTGAGGACCGCTTTCCTGGGCACCCCTGCTACTGGGCCCACTGGCACTGCCTCCACGCCGGCAGGGGTGTGGGCTGGGCTGCCTGGGCTGGTGGTGGGGATGGAGACCGGGGACAGTCTGGTTGTGCTGGTGGCCTCTTCCCTATCCATTTCTTACTGAACACACACACAAAACAGTGGGGCCTGGTCTGTGGGCTTCTCCTTACACCCTGCAGCAGGCTTGTTACCAGTCAGGGCCCTCCCCTCTCCCGGGAGGCAGTGCTCATCCTGGGCTGTGGGACCACTGTCTCTGGAGCCTGAAGGCACTGTCCTGAGTCCTTGTCTCGGCGAGGCCGCAGTCTGACACTGGCCCAATGTACTGCTCACTTTCGGCTAGGGTTCCCTAAATGTATGGAGCGTCAAGTCCCACCTTCACCGTGTCAGACAGGGGTCGGACGAGCGGGGCTGCGGTGAAACCGGGACTCTCCCATGCCCTATGCTGTACATGAGGTGCTGTGATGTTCATCCCGAAACTTAGCTATTGTCCCCCACTTTGTGTCTCCTGAAGCATCTGTGGCAACAGGCGGGTCTGTGTGAAAGAAAACTTAGGAAAGGACTTGTGGTATCATGCTTACTTCCTCCAAATCACTTGTCTTAGGACTGAGGTTTGCTGCTTTGCACTGGGGGACAGACTTTGCACAGAGTGGCCTGCACTGCCGTCCTCTACATTTACCTCTGGGTGTGACAGGTCTCTCCTCGTGCATTCCACGAAAATCTTTAATACAACTGGCTCGTCATGGAGTTCTTTCCAATATGTTTATGTAACTACCTTGAAACACAGAAATCCATAATCTACCTTTGTGAAAGGGACATAATACCAGTGGTTTATTCTGTTTAAAGGAAATATTTTTGTTTCTGTATTCTTGGCCTGTCCCAAGGAACCTAGAAATATTTTCCTTCATCCTTTTTTCCCCTAAATGACATATAATTGACTTGACAATATCTTGTTAATTTCAAGTGTACATCATAGTGATTCCATATTTTTATGCATTATGAAATGATCCCTGTGATAAGTCTAGTTGCCATCTATCACCACCCTGTTATTCCAATATTATCAACTATATTTCCTATGTTGTACATTACATCTCCTTGACTTATTTGTTTTATAACTAGAAGTCTGTACCTCTGTTTTTTAAAGTTTGCTTATTTATTTAAGTAATCTCTACACACAACATGGGGCTTGAACTCACGAGCCTGAGATCAAGTTGTGTGCTCTTGTGAATGAACCAGCCAGGCGCCCCGGGGTTTGTACCTCTTAATCGCTTCCGCTTCCTTTCTGTCCGCCAGCCCCTCCTGCTCTGTTAATCAAGTTTGTTCTCCGTGCCAGAGTCTGTTTCTGTTTTGTTTATTAGTTTGTTTTGTTTTTAAGATTCCGCATATGAGTGAAAGTATATGGCATTTGTCTTTCTCTGGCTGACTTATTGCACTTGGCATCATACCCACTACGTCTGTCCACGTTTTGGAAGTGGCAAGATTTCAGCCTTCTTTATGGCTGAGTCATATCACACTGTATGTATGGACCACATCTTCTGTATCTTTTCATCTGTGGGTGGGCACTGAGGTTGCTCCTGTGTCCTGGCTGTTGTAAATAAGGCTGCGATGAACCTAGAAGTGCAGATACCTCTCTGGATCAGTGTTTTCATTTTCAGAGTCCAGAGTGCTAACCATTACACTATGGAACCGTGGTGTTTTCATTTTCTTTGGATAAATACCTAGAGGTACAATTGCTGGATCATATGGTATTTGTTTTTTCTTTTTTTTAAAGATTTTATTGATTTGTGAGAGAGAGGCAGATAGTGACAGAGATAGCGAGAGAGAGCACAAACAGGGAGGAGAGGGAGAAGCAGACTTCCCACTGAGCAGGGAGCCCGATGTGGGGCTCAGTCCCAGGAGCATGGGATCATGACCTGAGCTGAAAGCATATGCTTAACCAACTGAGCCCCCTAGGTGCCCCTAGTTTTTCTTTTCTGAGCAACTTCCATACTGGATTCCATGGTGGCTGCACCAACTTACATTTCTGTCAACAGTGTACAAGGGTTCCTTTTCCTGCACATCCTTACCCACACTTGTTATTTCTTGTTTTTTTGATGCTAGCCGTTCTGATGTGCGTGAAGTGAAATCTCATGGTGGTTTTGATTTGCCTTTCCCTAATGGTTAGTGACGTTGAGAGTCTTTTCATGTGCCTGTTGGCCATCGGTGTGTCTTCTTTGGAAAAACATCTATTCAAGTACTCTGCCCATTTTTCCATCAGGTTATTTTTCATATTAATTTATGTAAGTTTTTAAAAATATATTTTTAATATTATCCCCTTATCTGATATGTGATTTGCAAATTCTTCCATTCGGTAGGTGGCCTTTTCGTTTTGTGGGTGGTTTCCCTCACTGTGCGGAAGCTTCTTAGTTTGTTGTAATCCCATTTATTTTAGCTTTTGTTGTTCTTGCCTCAGTAGACTGTGTCCCCCACCCCAAATATTGCTAAGACTGATGCCAAAGCACTTCCTTTGGTTTCTTCTAGGAGTTTTATGGTTTTACTTGTTATGTTCAAGTCCTTAATACATTTTGAGTTAATTCTTGTGTGTAGTAAAAGGTAGTGATCCCGTTTCCTTCTTCTGCATGTGGCTGTCCAGTTTTCCCAACACAATTTATTGAATGGACTCTCTTTCCCCCATTATATGTTCTTGCCTCCTTTGTCATATATTAACGGAGTATATATATGCATTTATTACTGGGCTCTATATTCTATTCCACTGATCTGTGTGGTTGTTTTTATACCAATACCGTTCTATTTTCATTATTACAGCTTGGTAATACAGTTTGAGATCAGGGAGCACGATGCCTCCAGCTTTGTTCTTTTTTCTGCAGATTGCTTTGGCTCTTCAGAGTGTTGTGTTATTTTATACAAATTTTAGGATTATTTGTTCTAGTTCTGTGAAAAATGCTATTGGTATTTTGAGAGGAATTGCACTGAATCTGTAGATTACTTTGGGTAATATGGACATTTTAACAATATTAATTCTTCCAATCCGTGATGATGGTGTATCTTACCGTTTTTTTATGTTGTCTTCAATTTCTTTCATCAGTCTCTTACAGTTTTCAGAGTATAGGTCTTTAACCTTCTTGGCTAAATTTATTCCTATGTATTTTATTACTTTGATACAATTATAAATTGGATTGTTTTCTTTTCTTTTTTTTACGGTAAATTTATTTATTTGAGAGAGGGAGTGTGCACATGTGAGCGGGGAGAGGGACAGAGGGAGAGAATCTCAAGCAGACTCCCCACTGAGTGTAGAGCCTGATTTGGGGCTTGATCCCACAACCCGTGAGATCATGACTTGAGCCAAAATCAAGAGTTGGATGCTTAATCGACTGAGCCCCCCCTGGTGCCCCTGGGATTGTTTTCTTAATTTCTATTTCTGACAGCTTGTTATTAGTGTATAGAAACACAACCTGCTTCTGTATATTAATTTTGTACCCTGTGACTTTACTGAAATAATTAATTAGTTCTCAGATCTCTTTGGTGGAGTCTTTTGGGTTTTCTATATATAACATCATGTCATCTGCAAATAATTTTACTTCTTCCTTTCAGTTTAGATGCCTTTTATTTCTTTTTCTTGCCTAAATGCTATGGCTAGGACTTTTAATACTATGCTGAGTAAAAGCGTCAAGAGTGGGCATCTCTGTCTTGTTCCTTATCTTAGAGGAAAAGCTTATAGCTTTTCACCATTCAGGATAATGTTAGCTGTGGGTTTGTCATATATGACCTTTATTATGTTAAGGTATGTTCTTTCTATACCCACTTTATTGAGAGTTTTTATCATAAATAGGTACTGAATTTTGTCATGAATTTTTTCTGAATCTATTGAGATGACCGTATGATTTTCATCTTTCATTTTGTTAATATGGTGTACCACCTTGATCTGTTTGTGGATGTTAAACTATCCTTGCATCCCTGGAATAAATCCCACTTGATCCTTTTAATATATTTTTGAATTGGATTTAGTAATGTTTTGTTGAGGATTTTTACATCTATGTTCACCAGGGATACTGGCCTATAATTTTCTTTTTTTTGTAGTGTCTTTATCTGGTTTCAGTATCAGGGTGATTCTGGCTTTGTAAAATGAATTTGGAAGCCTTCCTTCCTCCTTCAATTTTTTTTTAGAATAGTTTGAAAGGATAGGTACTAACTTTTCTTTAAATGTTTGGTAGGGAGGTGCCTGGGTGGCTCAGTGGGTTAAGCCTCTGCCTTCGGCTCAGGTCATGATCTCAGGGTCCTGGGATCGAGCCCTGCATCAGGCTCTCTGCTTATCGGGGAGCCTGCTTCCCCCTCTTCTCTGCCTACTTGTGATCTCTCTCTCTCTCTCTCTCTGTCAAATACATAAATAAAATCTTTAAAAAAAAATAAATGTTTGATATGTGGTCCTGGGGTTTTGTTTCTTAGGAGTTTTAAAATTACTGCTTCAGTTTCATTACTTGTAATTGGTATGTTCATATTTTCTGTTTTTATGTGATTCAGTCATAGAAGATTGGGTTTCTAGGAACTTACCCATTTCTTCTAGGTTGTCCAGTATGATGGTGGATAATTGTTCATACTGATCTCTTATGATTCTTTGTATTTCTGTGGTGTCACTTGTAACTTCTCTTTCATCTCTAATTTTTAAAAGAATTATATATTTATTATTGATGAATCTAATTAGAAGTTTATTGATTTTATTTTTTCAAAGAACCAGGCTTTAGTTTAATTGATCTTTTCTATTGTTTTTGATCTCTATTTCATTTATATCCACTCTGATCTTTATTATTTCCTCCTTCTACTAACTTTGGGCTTTGTTCTTTTTCTAGTTCCTTTAGATATAAAGTGAGATTGTTTATTTGGCATTTTTCTTACTTCTTGGGGAAGGCCTGTGTTGTTATGATCTTCTCTCTTAGAGCTGCTTTTGCTGTGTCCCATAGGTTTTGAAAAGTTGATTTCCATTTTATTTGTCTGAATGTAGTTTTTGATTACCTATGTGAGTTTTCCTTCATCCTTGATTATATTTTTTTCCTCTCTGTTTACAGTTGATCAGTGGGTTATGACCTGAACCTGTGTCATTCGTATCCCCTCCTCCTTCCCACAGCCCACCCTGACTGGCCCACAACATGGTATGCACGGGGACAGGCCAACACTTTTTATATATCTAGCCAAGTTATTAGATACAATACTAGTCACAAATACTTAGAAAATTAAAACTTGTAATTGATACCATTTACAATAGCATCAAGAAACATCATAATCTAGGCAAAAATATATTTAAAATATGCAAAACTTCTACACTGTGATCTAAAATGCCATTATGAGAAATTAAAGAAGGTGAAATAAATGGAAGGATACCAGGTTTATGGATTAGGACAGGCAATGTATGAAGATATTTGTTTTCCCAAATTGATAAATAGATTAAATGAATTAAATGCAGCCCCAATCAAAATCCCAGCAGGATGTGTGTGTGTGTGTGTGTGTGTGTGTAAACTGACCTACAAACCAACAGAACAGTGGGAAAAAACTTGGGCAGGTATTTCACACAAGTAGTTCCAAATGGATAAATATATGAAAAAGTATGACAAGTGTCTCCTGTATTTGTATATACAGAGAAATGCACATTAAAACCACAATAAGAGACAACTATTCCTTCAGCAGCATTGACTGACAACATGAAATGTTGGAAGGATGTGCAGTGGCAAGACCTCTCTTGCACTGTGGGAGAGGGGGTATTAACTTTAATTTAACTTGTATGCTGAACGTGGGTGTTCTAGTAGTGTGGAACGTAAGTGCTCAACAATTAGAGCATACCTTAGATGAATCATGATCCCAAGTGTCTTTGTGAAGTTTTGCCATCTACCCACTTAGCTATAGAAAGTTCTCTCCTCTCAGTATAGAACTCTGTAAGATCTTGGACAGCTAAAATGTCCAAGAAGCCCCAGATGCACGGAATGCATTTTGGTGAAGCATATGGGATTCGGGTGTTGTCGTGATAAACCTAACATGGAGTGTGTGAATAATGTTCGCAAATAGAGGAAATCACCAAGGAATGAGCAGGTGTCTGTGCTTTGTTTTTTATGATGCTGTTGTCTTTAGGTTAGTTTGTGCTACACTTACGAAACCAAAGATTTCTTGTGCTTGGTGCTAACCATTATGAATGGAGGGGACTTGAAGTTTCACATCCACAACTTGGGCAACCCTGGCTTTGATGAGGAGAGAGCTATTTTCTATGCCGCCGAGCTGTGCTGTGGCTTGGAGGATTTGCAGAGGGAAAGAATTGTGTACAGGTAAGAACAGCATGAACTCCCGGGGCCTGGGAGACTGTTCATCCTGAGCCTGAGGCTCCCACCGGGCTCCCTCCGGCCACCCAGGTGCCTGGGCAGGAGGGCTGTGGTGGAGCCCTTGGTGGCCATACATAGGGTCTGGTCACTCCCACTGTTGGGAATATGGTCAATTAGCAGTGGACCTTGGTTTTCATTTTAGTTCTCTTTGATCTCTAGTAGGTCAGTTTTATTTGTTAAGTTGATCAAATATAGGCAGTGTTATTCATGTAAGCATGAGAAGAGCCCATTTCTAAATTAGTTCTATTTAGGACTCTGGGCTCTGTTCCAACAAAATAGTGTAATAATTAAATGTCTCAAAATAATACTTTATTTTAATATTTTGCACCTTAGAATTCACTAAAGAAAATTTAATAGGTAGAATTAAATTAGTATGATCAAATATTTAATTTTAGGGAAAGCAGTCCCTCCAGTCACCCTTTGGGTGTTGAGCTCCTGGGCTCTGACACCTTTCTTGACCCTTCCCTGTGTAGCTCTGTCCCTTTACCTCTATAAGGACATCTACTTCCAGATGTGGACCATTGCCTATGGCCGTTTCTCACCCTGCCATTTCCCCTACATTCCAAGGGGTCTGTGTATCCCCTGCCCTCACCTGCCCCATCCAGTTGGTCACCAAATCAGACCTTGATGTTTCCCTACATCCAGGTTTTGGGGTCACTGGCTTAGTTCATGTCTTCCTCAGGTTACCTGGCAGGCAGACAGTTGAATGGTCTCGCTGATGCCAGTCTTGCCCCAGTTCCTGCTCTGTGCAACTGATGACAGGCCTTCCTGTGGTGTGGATCCCATCCTGTCATAGCAACCCTAGCTCGGAGCCCTATGGGCCTGGCTCTCCTGACCCCGTATGGTGCCGCCCCCCGGCTGATTTCTCTAGCCGGGTGTCCTGCACCCCAAATGGGGACTGTCTGCTTTCGTAATGTACACGTACTTCTTGAGTGTCCTCACATTTTCATACCCTTGCACATGCGGCCTGTTGGTTGGAGGCATTTCTTCTCTGCAGCCCCTCTGCTTGCATTCGGAGAAAGTGTAGCTCATCCCTAAGTTCCCCACCCTTGAGAATGGGGGTGTGTGCTCCCCGGGGGCATCCTCAGAGCACCTGTGTTATCCCACTGGAGGGCTGGTCACTCCAGCTGCATGCATCTCAGAAGCCCTTTCTCAGATCCCTGTTCTCACGAACTCTTGGCTCTGTCTCACGTTGCCTGGAGGCACCTTAGGATCTCTCGAAGGCCGGATCACAGGCCTGGCCATGGGGCTGGACAGCGCCCCTGAGGTGGTGCACCGGGGGCAGACTGCTGCCTTGGGAGCCATTCCCGTGGACACAGGCCATGTCACCACACTCACAGGGAGAGACGGGTGGCCCACGAAGCAGGGAGCAGGCCTGGAGGAGCTTGATTCCTCTTTCACTCCGGGAGCACCTCAGAGTTCAGTGCAGTTCAGTGCAGGTAAGCCCTTCTGCTTGCTTCCGGTGAAGACGTGCACCAGACCTCGTTTCATTGCTCGTGGCCTTACTGTGCTTCGCATGCACTGCCTCTTTTACAGACGGAAGGTTTGTCACAACCCTGTGCTGAGCAGGTCCTGTCTGTGCTGCTTTTCCAGCCACGTGGGCTCCCCTCATGTCTACATCACGTGTCGGTCATTCCTGCAGTGTTTCAAGCTGTTTCATTATTGTACTTGTGACCGTGATCTCTGATCTCCGATGTTACTGTCATCCTTGTCTGGGGTCACTACACGCAGCGCTCACGTAAGATGGTGGACGTAACCAGTGCGTGTTGTGCCTGTTCTCACTGCTTCACCCACCGGCTGTTTCCCTCTTTCTCCTCCTTGGACCTCCCTGTTCCCTGAGACACAACAATATGGCAGTTAGGCCAAATAATGACCCTGTAATGGCCTCTAAGTGCTCAAGTGAAAAGAGTCACACATAACTCACTTGAAATGAAAAGCTAGAAATGATTAAGCTTAGTGAGGAAGGGATGTCTGAAGCCGAGATAGGCCAAAAGGTAGGCCTCTTGTGCCAAACAGCCACGTTGCAAATATGAAGGAAAAGTTCTCCGAAGGAAGTTAAGAGCGCTACTCCAGGGACCACATGAGTGGTAAGAAAGCCAAATGGCCTCATCGCTGATAGAGAGAAAATTTGGGTGGTCTGATAGGAGATCAGACCCGCCCCAGTGTTCCCTTAAGCCAAAGCCTAATCCAGAGCAAGGCCCTGACTCTCAAGTCCACGAAGGCTGAGGGAGGTGAGGAAGCCACAGAAGAAAAGTCTGCAGCTAGCAGAGTGGGTTCGTGAGGTTTAAGGAGACACAGAGGGGCGGGGGGAGCAGCATGTGCTGATGGAGAAGCTGCAGCAAGTTCTGCCGGAGATCCAGCTCGGATCGCCCACGGAGGTGACTCCTAAACAGCAGATTCTCCACATGTAGACACAACAGCCTTATCTGGGGAGAAGATGCCATCTTGGACTGTCCTCACCGGAGGACAAGTCAGTGCCTGGCTTCAGAGGTTCAAGGGTTAGGCTGGCTCCCCATTAGGGGCTAATGCAGCTGGTGACTTTCAGCTGAAGCCGGTGCTCCTTTACTATTCTGGAAATTCTTAGGACCCTTAAGAATTGTGCTACCTTTCCTGTGCCTGTGCTCTACCCACGGAATGACACAGCCTGGACGGCTGCATATCTGTTCACAGTGAGGTTTACCAAACGTCTCAAGCCCACTGTTGAGACCTACTGCTCAGGAAAAAAGGTTCCTTTCGAAATATGACTGCTCGTTGATGTTGTACCTGGTCACCCAAGAGCTCTGGTGATGTACGGTGAGATGAGTGCCGTTTCCCTGCCTGCAAACACAGTGTCCGTTCTGCAGCCCACGGAGCAAGGAGTAATTTTGACTTTGAAGTCTTATCATTTAAGAGACACGTTTCGCAAGGCTGTAGATGCCATGGATGGTGATTCCTCCACTTGATCTGGGTGGGATACATTGAGAATCTTCTGGAAAGTATTCACCATGCCAGACGCCATTAAGAAAATGTTCCCATGGCTCAATGTCAATACTAACAGGAGTTTGGAAGAAGTGAGCTCCAGTGGTGAGGACATTGAGGGGTTCAAGACCAAGTGGAGGAAGTCACTATAGATGTGGTGGAAACAGCCAGAGAACCAGAAGTGGAGCCTGGAGAGGCGAGTGACCTGCTGCCCTCGCAGGATAACACTTGCACGGGTGAGGACCTGCTTCCGTGGAGGAGCGAGGAAGGTGATTTCTTGAGCTGGAGTCTGCTCCTGGTGACGATGCTGTGGAGATGGTTGAAATCTGACAAGGACTTAGAGCATTGCATGACCTTAGTTGATAAGGTGGCAGGGCTCCTCTCCAGTTTGGAGAGGAGTTTTGCTGTGGGTGAAATGCTACCAGACATGCTGCAGAGAAATCATTTGGGAAAGGAAGAGTCCATCAGTGCAACAAATTTATTCTCTTGTTTTAAGAGACTGCCGTAGACACCCCAGCCTTCAGCAGCTCCCACTGTGATCACTCAGCCACCGTCAGCATCGAGGTAAGACCCTCCAGCAGCAAAAGATTACAGCTTGCTGAAAGCTCAGATGATGGTTAGCAGTAAAGCATTTTTTTAATTAAGGCATTCATTGTTTTGGGGTCACCTGATGGCTCAGTCGGTTAAGCGTCTGTCTTCGGTTCGGGTCATGATCTCAGGGTCCTGGGATCTAGCTTCACATCAGGCTCCCTGCTCTGCGGGGAGTCTGCTTCTCCCTCTTCCTCTGCCCTTCCCCCTGCTCCTGCTCTTTCTCGCTCTATCTCTTTCACACTCTTTCTCTATCAAATAAATAAATAAAATCTTTTTTAAAAAAGGTATTCATTGTTTTGTTAGACATAATGCTATTGCACACTTAATGGGTCTCAGTGTAGGGCAAACATAACTTTAATATGCCCAGGGAAACCAAAAAATTCGTTTGACTCATTTATTGTGATAGTCACTGAATTTTGACTGTCTAGACCAAATCCCTGTATCTCTAAGGTCTGCTCATTACTGGATTGGTTAGAAGATTTTCTTTTCCCCTAGCCTTTCACCTTGGGCTCCGACTTGCCCTCAGGCAGAGCAGGGGAAAGGCGTGGGCTGGCCAGCACTTAGTGGGAACTTAGTGCATGTCCACAGCACCCACCAGTAGGCGCCTGCCATTTGTTAAATGGATGACCCATGGCTTTCAGCCTCTAATGGTGCGTCCCCTCCCCTAGGGACCTGTCAAGCACCACTTTCATTCTTTGAAATTATTTCTTGTAGTCAGAAGTTGCCTCTTGACAACCTTTATCAGACCAGGTACCAGAAAGATGACCTTTCTTTTTGCAGACGGATGGTACAAATAAGAACGCCCTATGATCTCAGCACTCTTAGGTCAGAGAGGAGGCCCTCAGGCCCGGCTTTGAGCCACCTGTAGGGTACAGCATGTTCCTAGTCAGAAGGAGAGCCCGGGGGCCTCTTACTGTCGTCCGTGGGAGCTGCTCCAGGTGTGTCAGGCCTCACAGGCTTGCAGAATTCTTTCTAGTATAAATGATTTAAACTGGACCCAGGCCTGATCAGGGAAGGCTTTCGGGAGGACCTGGGACTCACCTGGCAGCTTGGCTAGATGGCTAAGATGAGAGCAGAGGGTAAAGGGATCATTCTTTTGGGGGAGATGTGCGCCATGTGTGCCTACTGGAGAAAGTGAGCAGAGGAGTCCACGTAAACCAGAGTGGTCATAAAGACAGGAGGATGGGGCACCTGGGTGGCTCAGTGGGTTAAAGCCTCTGCCTTCGGCTCAGGTCATGATCCCAGTGTCCTGGGATCAAGCCCTGCATCAGGCTCTCTGCTCAGCGGGGAGACTGCTTCCCTTCCTCTCTCTCTGCCTGTTTCTCTGCCTACTTGTGATCTCTGTCAAATAAATAATTAAAAATTTTTTAAAAAAAAGGAAGGAAGAAGCAAACTTG